TAACCACATCGAGTCCAACCACAACAAGAGTCCAACCACAACAACAAGAGTCCAACCACAACAACAAGAGTCCAATAACGAATCCAATAACAAGAGTCAACAAGAGAGCACTATATCCTCGAGGCTCTTGGTTTACGAGACAACATAGGCCCATAATTCTAGCTGATGAGCGGCAGAGTGGAGAGGCACCTTAACACATGAACATTAATCATCCTTAACCCCCAGTTCTACTACGTGGAGGGGGGGGGTGTGAGATGAGGTAGAAAATGGTTGCTACTACTACTATTACTACTACTACTACTAAATAGATCACCTGAAGATTAGACACCCTAACCTACCCCCCACAGCGTTAAGAGGCACATCAGGTGAAATATACTGGGGGTGCCTAATCTTCATGTGATACCCTCAAAAAAAATTAAGATTACAGATACTTTAAGATAACACAGACATATACACTGATTACTATATTCCCCCACATCAACAAGAAGTAGGAGGAGGAGGAGGTGGAGGAGAGAGAAGGAGAGATAGAGAGAGAGGAAGAGGAGAGCGGAGGGACAGTGTGGAGGTGAGGGATAAGGCCAGGCGGGCCAGCTGATGGACCCTCCACCACCACTCACCACACACACGCTACAACCACTATCCTTGGCGGCGATGGTGGTAGTTGTGGTAATAAGTGACTGAGAGGGTGGTAGCGGTGGTGGATGACTGGGAGGGTGGTAGTGGATGACTGAGAGGATGGTAGCGGTGGTGGATGACTGGGAGGGTGGTAGTGGATGACTGAGAAGGTGGTAGCGGTGGTAGTGGATGACTGAGAGGGTGGTAGTAGCGGTGGTAGTGGATGACTGAGAGGGTGGTAGTAGCGGTGGTAGTGGATGACTGAGAGGGTGGTAGCGGTGGTGGATGACTGGGAGGGTGGTAGTGGATGACTGAGAGGATGGTAGCGGTGGTGGATGACTGGGAGGGTGGTAGTGGATGACTGAGAGGGTGGTAGCGGTGGTGGATGACTGGGAGGGTGGTAGTGGCGGTGGTAGTGGATGACTGAGAGGGTGGTACTGGTGATAGTAAGGGACTGAGAGGGTGGTAGTGATAGTGTTCGACTGATGGGGGTGATAGTAGTGGATGACTGGGACGGTAATAGTGGATGACTGGGAGTTTTTTTTTAGTTTAACAAATTTATTGGCAGAGCTTGTAGTACAGTTTGCCCATTCTGAGTAATTCAGTCAGGTCTTGACACTGAGGGTGGTATCACTTCTCACTGCCACGCAGGACAGAGGTTCATACACAAAGACATGTGGGTGATGTCACTGTTCACTGTCATGCAGGACAGAGGTTCATACACAAAGACATGTGGGTGATGTCACTGTTCACTGCCAAGCAGGACAGTGGTTCATATACATTGGACGTCATATTCTAATTGAAGACTAATCAGTGTGGGCTAGCAAATTTGGGATAAACAGCAAGAATGTCACCAAGCACCCCCGATTCAATATAGTGATTACAAAGTTCATGATACAATAACTGATTGATTTTGATTTTTTGATTTTGCCGCTTACAGCGGCTACTTTATTGTGCACCCCACACTCATCCTGTGAGCGGTAGCGCAAAAGGATTAGAGTAGAGTTTACAACGGGTCATAATAATTAACCCCCGTTGTCAGGATATTATGGCACTGAATGTTTGAGAGGGTGGTAATGGTGGTAGTGAGAGACTGACGGGGTAGCGATGGTGGTGGTAGAATGAATAAAAGATGACTCAAAACACTGGTAGAGAGTAAGAGGGTGACTCAACGCTAAGAAGAACCTGACTCAGCACGCGACTCACTCAACACCTAAGAACGGAGGAACAGGAGGGAAGAGGAGAGGAGGAGGGGAAGAGGAGGAGGAGGGGGAGGGGGAACGGGGGGCGATCACTTGAGGAAACCCCGCCAAATCGTCGACTCTGCCGCGTCCGTCCAAGACCAGATTTGTTTTGGTCGCCTGTAGAACTTGATACTGGGGTGACGGGGTTAGCGTGACATCACCTCTATGTGTATATTTTTATTAAACACACACGGATACACACACACACACGGATACACACACACACACAGATACACATACACACACACACACAAATAGATGTTGTAGGTTTGCATGTTTAAGGTGTGTGTTTTCGAGTCATAAACAGGAAGTGAGGAAGGGAGTGAGGAAGGAAGGAAGGGAGTGAGGAAGGGAGTGAGGAAGGAAGGAAGGGAGTGAGTGAGGAAGGGAGTGAGTGAGGAAGGAAGGGATGAGGAAGGGGGTGAGCAAGCAAGCAAGCGAGGAAGGAAGTGAGCAAGCAAGAAAGCAAGGAAGGAAGGAAGGAAGGAAGGAAGGAAGGAAGGAAAGAAGGAAGGAAGGAAGGAAGGAAGGAAGGAAGGAAGGAAGGAAAGAAGGAAGGAAGGAAGGAAGATCAATAAAAATAACTGACAATCCACTTCAGTCTTTTACCGTGAATCACTTAATAAATGCAAGGTATTTTAGCCAACACCACACGACCTCTCCTCCCCACCTTGAACAACAACAACAACAACAACATAACAAGGTCCCTCGGGCTTTTACGACTCAAACACGTGTACTTACAGTAGATCAAGGTTAGTGCCCTGGTTCGCGTTCCATAAACACCATTTTCTTCTTCTCTTTATCTGTCTTTCTGCATTATTTCCCATTTATTACATTCTTCTCTTCTTTATCTCTTTTAAACGTCTATGTATACAGTATCGTCTTGCCTTTACGACGCGTGACCTCCGCATTTGTTTACAATGAGACAGTGTTCACGGATCCACTGTGTACCAAAGTCCGTCAAGTTGTGTTCAGTGAGTTTGTCTGCACATACTGTACACTACCACACCTCCTCCCACAGACACACAAGCTCATATCCCCCCAAACAGACATACCCTCTCTCACACACATACAAACCCTCCCACTCCCCAGACACATACAGTATACACGTCCCACAGACACACATACACCCCCACATACACACATACACCCCCACATACACACTCCCACCCTCACAGACGTATAACTTATTGATGAATTTGACGCAAGTAGACAAGTGCAAACAGGCACTAGTCGATCCATAGTTTACCATGATGAGATGTATCAAGTGAAACATGTATATGGAGCAAGTAACAAGATCACTAGATTACACGATGTTGTTACCGCTAGACTAAGGTTAGGATAAAAGTACCTCTGGCAGTGTGTTCCTCAAGCAGATGTGAACAAAACTAAATGTCCTTGACTGTGTGAAGATAGAACTTTTTAGGGACAGGTCCAAGCACACTGTGTGTGAAATGGCACAACACTATATATATAATGGCAAGAAAGCCGACATATTATGATTGTATCCACTTTCTTGCACTTAGTAGCTATATCAGGTCCCATGTATAGAACCAAACACACAATGTGCTTGAATACTTCTCATGCAAATATGAATAACAAAGTGTGAGGCCAGACACACTGCCTCACACTCCTGTACTGACGCAGTTATGAATAAGTTACCCTTTATGTATAGAACTGAACAAATAATGCATTTGAAATACTGTGTAACATTCAGTGCCATAATATCCTGACCACGGGGATTAGTTATTCTAGCACTTTGTGAACTCTACTCTGTAATCCTTTTGTGCTACAGCTCACAGGATGAGTATGGGGTACACAGCAAACTAGCCGTTGTAAGAGACAAAATTCAAAAATTCAATTCGTATACACCTTCCCACCCCACACAGACACATGCACGCCTTCCCGGCTCAATCAGACAAAAAAAACACCCCCCTCCCCTCCCGTACCCTCACAGACACACCCTCCCAACTTACAAGACAAAAGACTCAGCAGCCAGACACCATTTGTTAAGAAGGGCCGTCCATCAGGGTACACGGGGGGCGACCTAGTGTGTGTGTGTGTGTGTGTGTGTGTGTGTGTGTGTGTGTCCTCCCCAGATGAAGACACATGGGGAGAGGGCGCAAGATGGCAAGAATGAATGGAATGGGTGAGGGGAAGCAAGAATAAGAGAGAGAGAGAGAGAGAGAGAGAGAGAGAGAGAGAGAGAGAGCATCCTTATGAGATAGAATGCAACTTTTATATTTAACACGAGACAAAGGTTATCTGGGAGATTATGTATGACAAAATAATCAAATGAAGCAGGCTCTCAAATGTTGAAAATTATTCCATATATTAGCGCAGGAAGACATTATGGTATGTCGACTGTACTTTGAAACATTCATGGTCATGGTATTACAGTCTACATAAAAATGAGTGCATTAAATATTACTAAACAAAATAAAATTACAAATTCAAATACTGTACTACAAATCCTGTTTTATAATTGGAGATAGACGGAGCCAGTGACCTAACAGCTACTGTACTTCCTCGCAATATAAATTCATCAACGCATGGTACAATATAGAGTAAACCTAGAGCCAGGAATACTGTACTGTACTCAAACGTTGAAGTCTCAGTTTTTTCCTTCTTATATCTTAACATTATTGGCTGTTTCAATTCAGCTCTGAATACCAATCCTGAATGACACTTCTTCACACCATCCAGTACAGATGCAGCTGACGACGGAGTGACCTACAGGTACAGTACTAATAAAGACCTGCCTGCCTTTGGCATCCTTAACAACCATCACAACTTGTACATGATTGGCTGTTGGTAGTGCATTAGCTTACGTAATTATGAGTCAACGTCTACACAATATTTTGGCCACTAAAGTTGTCCAAAAGAATTGGTAGAGCTTAGTCATTCAGTCAGTTTTCAAAAACTAACTTCAGTTGCAAGTACCTGTACCTGTACTGTATTTTTATATCATCAATACAGTATCCATCCACTGTCCTGCATATCCCACTGGCCTGATGGCCCTAAGTTAGTGCAGGGTAAGTAACTAGCACAATAGAGTAACAGACCTGTCATCAGAGTAACAATACTGTAGTCTTGTATTATCATTAAATGGTGGATATGTGGGATGAGAAAAAGTTTTAATGGAATCACAGCATTATTTATTCAAATTATTTACAAAGAAAACTGCCATTTCACAAAGCATTATTGGAAAACAGACAATGAATTCACAATTCATTCACACACATCTAATTGCAATATCAATGCATAAAAATTATGACCCAATATAACTTTAAGAAAATACAAAATTCTTATTTTATGGTACATTTTATACACAATAAAATTCTGTAAGCATATTATTCTATATTATTCTATCATTTACACACAGCTGTCACAAAGTTTAAAATTCAAACTACCTCTATGAATTTAAACTGTAAGAAACCAAACCTCATGGACTAGTATGTTAGCTTGTTTGTCTACTAAAACGGAAGTAACTTAATGCAGACATTTGTCAAATTCGGCGAACATTGGGCCCAATAGTTTGGCATGAGTTATTGCAGAGCCATCTTTAGTCAAGGCCATGTTGAGGCTACAACTATGCTGGCTAAGCATAAAGTCAAAATCATAACATATTGAACTTCTTAACTAATTTAAGGTTCAGCCAACAATGGGGTCTTTTCTTGTGCCTGCTGGAATGACACTGAGAGGGCAGCACCACTATCTGGTGGGGGCCCACTGTGGAAAGGAACAGTGTGGAATGCTCCACCTGGAGGACCCTGGGGTCCAGAAGGCGGATTTTGTGGGGTGTCAGTGTACATGGCTCGATGGCGGTGTCGCTGATGTAGCTCATGCAGGTACAATGTGCTAAGACTCATGTCTACAGCAGTGAGATCTTGAGGCATTGGTGGGCCTAAACTTCGACCCATCATGGATGATGGCCCAATAGTACTTGGGGCGAGAACTGGATCAATAATAGGTCCAGAAGTGATACTACTTGTCCCTATAGGACCCTCTACACTTGACTGTCCCATTTGTTGGATGGACGATAATATTCCACCACTGGGACCATGGCGGGAACCTTCAACGTGGGACATCCCGCCCCGTAGGCCTCTGGGTGACCAGAAAGACTGTTGAAGCTGCGCACCTACCTGAGGACCGGTCGCCATCCAGGGAGGCCGGAACAAGCTAGTAGCTGCCATTCCAAGACCTCCATCACACGACAAGGAGTTCAATGATGAGAAGAGAGCATTTTCTTCCTGCACTGTTGGCAGGGCATTCATGTCCCTCTGAGCTTGTGTTCTTAAAGCAGTAATAAATGCCGAAGATTCTTGTGGAGGTGTCCATTTGGGATTGGTCATTGTGAAATGTATGAGAGAAAGTTCTGTTTTGCCACCATCTGTTGTCATACCAGGTTTACTTGAGCTATCAGGTTGGTTGAGGTCCTCAGAAAGGATATCTGGCTGCCAAGTTGGGCTTCCATGTCTGCGAACATCCATCTGAGCAAAGGAACAAACATCACCAACCCCAACAACCTCTACAGTAAAGTTGCGATAGAAATCTACAATGTCTAAAGCCTTGAATCTTAGCCTGAAGATTAGAATGAGTGGAGTAACAATAGGTGACACCAATTCTTCCAACATGTGCACAGCTCTATACTGGAACAGTTGTGAAAATTCCTGGCGAACCCTGGATGTGTGGGCCTTTTCCCTCCAGTGGTCAGGGAGATAGTGCACCTCTGCCAGAACCCTCCTCAACAACAGCTCAGGACAGAACACCAGGTTTTCATCTGGGATAAAAACACGACAACCAGCTAGAACTGCACCCATAACTGTCATAAATGTCAGCACGTGTTCAACTTGTAAGACATCTTCATCATACACACTTAGGGCAGCTAAAACAGCAAACACTGCTCCACATGCAAATGCCATGTGCTTAGCAACTATAGCCAGGACTGGAGAGGAGAAGATGTTCATGTACTGAGTTGCAGCCTTGTATCCCCTGTTGAGACGCGCCGTCATTTCATGATCTAGCTCGTTGAAGTGCCTAAGGTACACTTCTCCATAGTGAGACCATCGACGACTACCTAGGCTACCAGGTTCACGTTTTATCATTTCAGCATAATAGAAAAAGGAATAGAGGATCTGAAATATTAGCACAAAAGGAAAAAGAACAAGATTTGCAATACCAGTATACAAAAATCTTTTATTGAGTTGCTCCGCCAATTCGTGTCGTTTTTCAAGTCGCTTATATTCATCACTCAGGTGCCAATTATTTTTGAATGGTGCCCATGGCCCCCAAAATAGTAACATTTCAATATTGAAGCGCAAGCCCTTGGTGAGGAAGACCATTTCCCCATTAAAGGGAACCTCAAATTTAAGGGGTATAATTTCTTTGTTGACCATGGCGATGAAGTAGTTAGTGAAGCGAAGTATTCTGTGGTATATGTCCAACTCTGTCAACACCTCCTTATGGATACACATGCGCTGCTCAACCTGAAATAAAACATTGAGGATACCAATAAATATTTGCGTCTGAAAATACAAATTAAATCTTAGGTCATACCTGTCATCATTTTACCCAAGTGAGTTATAATACACTTGAAAGGTATATATAAAAGGAAGTTCATTTAAAAAATATCTTCCAAAATATCTTAAACTGTTGAGAATTTTATCAAAATGGCATGTGACCAATGATAATCACACTAAATACTGTATAGAGTAAAATTTGTTGCTGTTCTTATTTGAAAATTCTTAATATCACAAAAATTTTGAATTTTTGTATCTATTCTTTAACCCTCTTGCAATGCTTTGAGACAATTAAAAATGCAGTACAATACATGTACAATCTAAGACAAAAGTCGTGTCGCGGTTTTATCCGAAGATTAAATATAACTCGTGAAACATTATGAGAGCACCCTACCACAAGGCAGAGTGCACCAAAAGTTTAGCCCTTCAACATATGTTTTCACCAAATTTCACGGCACGACTTTTGAGTTTCATTGTACATGCAAAACATTAAATTTTTCTCCTAGGTACGTTTCTGTGAATTGTCTTCAAGTACACCTGTCTTTCCCTACTACCTTAAATCCATGAGGTAAATGCCTCAAACTGATTCAGTATTTTCAGGATACAGTACAGGAATTTTATGATATGCAGTCTGTACATTTCCCCTCTTCTCATTATTAATTGTGGAATGTCCCTCTTTAATATTGCAAAAAAAAAAAATAATAATAATTTAACCCTTCACCACTTTTGCTTTAATTACACACAAAACGCCAGGGATAAAACTGTTTCTGGTTCTACAAAGTATACTAAAATGAGACCTTCCACTGAGTGGAATTGTTGATACTCTTTTTTGCCAACTATAATTACTTCATCCTATAGCAATAAACATAACACATCCACCCCAAACTCTTGATACAGCATTCCTGTAATGTCATACCGTACAGTATAGCCATTGCAACACACACACCCATGAATTTTTAAAAGCTTCAGACCAGGCTGAAACAAACTGTTCAACAAAATAGATTGGAGTACTCAGTAGCAAAATTAAACTTTTTAATGAACCCAGTGTGGGTGATGTTAGTTCCCATGACACACTGGCTAGGTCCCAGTTAGGTTGTACACAAATTTATATATGTACTAGGTACAACCTTTGCAGCACAATATGAATGACAAATGCTTTGCAAAAAAAAACTTAAATGTGTACACACAGAAAAAAACTATCTGTCCACCTGGACCTGGTGTTTAGAAATTAATATATGTACAGCAACCGAACCAAACTGAAACCGCTGTACAGTATCTCAAAAAAGTATCTGTCCACACTGTGTGAAACAGTATGAAACCACAGATCACAGATATTTGGTATATACCTGTACAGGCAATTTAACGTCTATTTTTTCAGCATAATTTCAATACAGTAATATGATGTTCGGTTACCAAATGTAGTACAATCATTATGCCACAGAGCCATGCATGCCAACCCTTCCGGGACATCGCAAGTTGCATGTAGCATTTCAGAAGTCACTGGACCCATCATGGCATACTTTTTTGAGATACAGGGTACTGTACTGTACACGGTGTTCATTTCCTAACATCGTACCCAGGCGGCAGATACTTCTTTTTTCTGTGTGTACCTCAACACCCAACATGTGCTCCACAAGCCCATACTGTACTGTACACTATCTTACTGTGCTCTCATCCATTCAACTCTCCTGAGACTCATCTTAAATCACCATTCCTTCCTCAACCAATTCTCTGCATCCCCATAATGTTTTCAGAATGTCCACTCTAACTATATCTAAAATATCTGTCTTATATCCATATGTACAAGCTGGGAAAAAAGTCCTTCGTGCCCTCTTTCTGCACATTTTACAGTTCTGTGCTGTGAATTAATTAATTAAAACCCCAGCGTATTTCACCTATGCAGTACCGTATAACAATTAAACACCATAATGCTAACCCAATTGAACCTAATCGCCCCATTTAGAATTAGGACAATTAAATGTCTGATGATATCCAGTACAGTACATTAAAACTCCCAGTATTCTATTTTTGACATTTCCTTTGCACTACTGTTATTCACCTCAGATTTTCCATATCCATACTTGCTGAACACTACTGTACTCCCACATACTAGTACCAGTGCCTGAGTTCCTTTGTAACCCCAAGCTCTTCACCTTGCACAGAGATAATTCACCGAGTCTGCCCTAAATTTTATAATATCATAACTTTGCACTTCCTCCTCAGACTTGACTAGAAGCACACTTTACTCCACATGTATGTGATAATTTCCATTTTATGTTATCATGTCTATCATTCTGTAGTCACGACTTACAGGTACTGTATATTCATGGCAGAAGAGTATATATTGCTCCAGGCATAATAACCAGGGTGACATCTGGGACAACTGACATGCTCCCCCAGTTACAGTATTGTATTTCAAGCCACTCACTCACACCACCATTAATCTCACACTTGTGCTACTTCCATCAAATTAATAAGGCAGCTTAAAGAAACTTGTGTTGCAACAGTCGGCTGCTAGTTCTACACCCGCGACTTTGAGCATGAGTAGCCATATACATTTCAGATATATAACTTTCTCTCAGTATTAGTGAATCTGTTAAGTCATCAATATCAGTTTTGCAAAATACTGTACCTTCACCCACAGAGCTATTACTGTAGTTATATATGCAAACCCCACTAATTTGACATCCATGGGCCTCTACCCCATTCGAATTACCCATAAAATAAAATTAGCTGATGTGGCTAATTAGCCTTTTTGTGCCATGCATATTTCATAAGTTAACATATTAACTCAAACAGCTGTTACAGTCAATATTATTAAAACATTATTAATCTTTAACATAATCTACAAATGGTCAAGTGGAATGATGATAATCATATTTATGTTCACAACCAGATTTCACACTGTAATTTTCACTTCTCTTCGTAGTGTTGGCTCATGACATCATGGAAAAGTACAGATTGCTGTGTGTGCCTTCATAATTTTTTTTACCTAATTTACAACTAGAGCATGTGTAATTGTGTAACACTAATAATATATATGTATTAGGTATACGAATCCAGGAAAAAAGTCACAGAAAAAACCTAACCTAACATACGTGTAATGCCATCATATATAAATTGTGTTGTCAATATGTACAAGTCATGTACTGTCAGTTAATACAAGTCATGTACTGTCATTTAATAAGTGATTTACAATAGTTTTTGTTTTATTATTTTAAATGTTAATGACATTTAAATAAAATGTGACTTTTCCAGTGATTTTTTTCCTAGCCAAAATTGGGACTTTATTTCTAACCCTTTTTCCTGTGACTTTATTTATGTTCACCATTGTATACAACTGTACCTACTCCTAAATATTCAGGCATGTTACCATCTTGTTGCAAGGCTGGTTGCATCATGGAATAGTACAAAATGGTTACCAAGTTAACATTAATTAAAATTGCATATTTTTCTAAAAACTATGTAGATATTGGCTACTGTAATAAAATATCACTTGGAAAACTAATATTACTGTATAGTTTCTGGGTGGTTAAAATAAGTTTTCCTCCATGTGAATACAAAAAAATTGCTTCTTACCTGCACATCCATGACACGCTGTTCCACCTCCTCCCAAGTGATATTGCCAAGTTCCTGGTCGTGGATGCCCAGGGCCTTATTGAAGAAAAGCTTGATTTCCCAGAACTGGAAGAAGGTGAAGCCGGCGTGGAACAGACGGAGAACCCAGAAGACTGATGCCAGTAGAATGACGATAACCATCTTCCAGGTGTAGTGTTCCATGCACTGATCGTGAGTACGTATGGCATCAGGCAGCGTGATTTTATCCGTCAAAGTTACATTAAAGTCCGGAGGAAATTTGTTTCTGAATAGGATATCATAGTCCACACAGGTAAATAGAAACGACGTGAATACAATTATGAATATAAACTGGGCTAGTTCAAATATTTGTTGTAGCATCATACACAATAGTCCGTGGTTTTGATGATATTGGTACACCCGCGTGAAGAAAGAATCCAAATCTTCCAAGTGGTTCCATCTCGACTTGCTGGACTTGGGAACAACATGAAATACCATACTTGTATGAGTATCTGGTGAGAGATCGTCATCTCTTTCCACATCTACCTCTGTGGGTATTACATCTCTATCACTTGCCCCTCCCAAGGGCTGGTAATTTGTCTGGAAGTTCTGTGACATGATGCTGCAATATTAGTACAACCACAGACAGGAGCTAATTTTTCAAGTCATCCATTCATAAAACCACACAGCTCATTCGTTGTTTGGTGCACACGTTCCAATCAGCTGATTTCCCAAAACAGGTACAAGTTCCTTCAGATTGACGACGACACACAATCTCGTTTCTTCACCTCCCAGCTCCTCCGCCTCTGCTCGTTCCTCACATCTTGGCTCCCTCTTGGCACTATCTACTACATGCTAAGTGTCTCTGTACAGTTGGATGTCTATAAAGGGGGTACTACGCATGTAAACGGGAGAATTGCGTTGCATTCTCCCTGTTAGTTTCTCACCACTGTTCTAACATCTCGTCTTATTTCCAGGTCGCATTTACGTAGTGGGCCTTTGTCTTTTATTTCTCATTTATTATCTCCAGCAACAACACAGCTTCTTCAATTATCTTTTTCACACAAACAATAATAACTCTCCCAAGATACGAAATATACTAGACAGTGAGAGAGACGAGTAATAACATGGATGAGGTTAATATATAAGATGAGAGTGGCCATAGACACTTGGCAACCCTCCCTCGCCAGCACGACCCGGATATACAACTCAATCTCAACCCAAACAATGACATCACTTATCTACATCAATTTAAAACCAAAAATAACATATATTTTCCTCATATTCATCTATATTATTAATTTATAAATACAACCTTACACAAATATCACCATAAACTCTAAAAAAAATATTACAAATAAAAACTCAATTAACATCACTAATTCCTAAAGAATCTGAGTAACATTCGTAACTAAATCGACAATTGATATTTTATATACATTCGTCTTGTCATCACTAGTTTAATATAATACAAAACACCTAAATAATTAGATATTATTAGCACTTACCTTCTACGCCATCTTGCAAGTAATCAAGTTGGTGGTCTTCATTCCTATCATATTTCTACACTTACTTCACTTTTCTCTAATATTAAGGTTCAACCCAAGTCTTGTAACATTCACAGGGAAGATCTATGTGTTTAAATAAGGCTTACCTACCTATAAACAAGCCCTTACATGGATAACTCTCAAGGGATCGATAATGGTCCACTCATTGGCGCCAAAGTTTTCGAATATTGCGTTTTGACTTCATTCGTACATCCGATTATCCCACCCACAATAATTACTCTAACACCATACACGTATATAACATTGATAATAGTCCAGATAAAATAATAAAATATATTCTACAATTATTATTTAATATTTGCTATAATACGGTATTGAGCGGTGAGTTTGATAACGAGTTAATGGGTGATTTAATAACTTGAGACAACCATTCGGATAAAGCTATAATCCAACATGGCCGACTTTATCTCGTCGCTGATTGGTCAGTTCTCCGGAGTCCATCATGGCGGTTTGTTATTCCGCGTGATATGATGTAGTGATCGTCATTTAAACCTTCTCATACCCTAATATACCTCTATGGTTTGAAATTTGAGATACATAAAATTACCACCGGTGAGTAAAGAATTATCTGGTAATGGTAATAATCATGGGTGTTATTTATATAGGGAAATATGAGAGTTAGACGATTGGACCCCATAGGTTGTTGGGAGAAGACTTTTAAAATACAAGACTGTGGCTTCATACTCGTGTTCAATGCACAGTTTATATTGTTAGATATCAAAGTATATATAGCCTGTGTGTAATATTACCGGACAGGACATTAGACAAACCAACTAGACCTACGGTAATATATACCTAGCCTAACATTCTTGTCGGCGTGGTTTATAGGGATTATTTGGCGCCCCAACAATCGTTATTTCTCTAAGGGATTCTCACTTAAAAATGTGCTCTAATACATAAATGAAAATCCAATGGTATTTAAAGGAAAATATGAATTAACGTAAGTACAGGTTGTTGTTCATTACTTTTTATTTAATTTCTTTTGGAAAATACCATACATGATTTAAGCCCAATACAACTTATATGGTTAAATATCTATGTTTTAATATATTTCTGTTTATACTTTTCATGTATGGGTAATATCACTTACAATTTTTCTCTTGAATTTTACACAGATGACAACATGTCTGTTAGTCATGTTGTAATGTAGGTGATTCTGTTTCTTTTGGAATGTTTGTTAGCAGTTCAGTGCAAGCATTATTTTTGGGAGGTTACTCTTATTTTTCGGGGGTAAATGAAATAGAAGATACTGTATATATATATATATATATATATATATATATATATATATATATATATATATATATATATATATATATATATATATATATATATATATATATATATATTTTTTTTTAGGTTGCTTTGGTTTGGTAGGTTAGATTTTGTTGGTTGCCATAATGGTTCAGTGCAGGTATCTCTCTATTTACGATGGAGTTCCGTTCCTGATAAACCCACCGCTGGTCAAAATATCATAAATCGGGATCATTATAACATGGGGTTCATTTGGATATGTTTCCAGCCAGTCAGACACCCACGTGTATCACTCCATCTACACAAATGCTATACTGTACCTACAACACAATTAAACAACACTCACCACATCATTCAAAACAAGCCTGGTCATCTTTACATGTCCCTTTTGAGGCTAAGGGGACTCATGAAGGTGGAGTGGAGACGTCACTCTGACTCCCACACAGCTTCACCTCCAGAGACACGGTTTTCTTGGGTTCCTTGGCCTTCCCAGACATTTTCAAAGTTACACTACTCACTTCACAGTTACAAAAACAGAGCGAATGATGATAACGTAAAAACAATGGTAGCGGCCGACACTGCTCACATTGGGTTTATAACAACAGAGGCAAAGAACTTTACAGTTAGTACAAAAAAATATACCGGTAGCAAAAATCACTTCAGTCACCAAAGCATAGTATAATAAAAAATGTTAGTGATGTTCTCTCTCTGTAAGGTAAAAAAAAATGTAACGGCGAGATGTGTTCCATATTCCGCATTGGCCGGACGATGACCATAGTTCATTCGCATTGTTTACATCGTAAATAATGGGATGGTGTACAGTATATGACCATCGTTAAAGCGGACTATCATCAATAGGGAGACCTTGTAACAATCAAGACATACATGTTCATGTCTAACTAATCTATTAACATTCTTTTCATCAGTTTTCGAATCGGTGAACGAGGGGCACAATTATGATGTGGTATATCTCGACTTTAGCAAAGCCTTCGACAGAGTCCCCCACGAAAGACTAATTAGAAAGGTAGAAGCGCATGGCATCAAAAGTAATATCCTTAAATGGATTAGGGCGTGGTTACGGGACAAGAAACAGCGAGTGAGCATAAACGGCATAGATATCGGCATAGACAGCATTATAAGTAAATTTGCTGATGACACTAAAATAGGACGTGTAATTAAATCTGACGAGGACTCTGCAAAACTACAGGAAGATCTAAACAAATTTTTCGAATGGTCGGAAAAATGGCAGATGAAATTCAATGTGGACAAATGTAAAGTACTCAGTATAGGAGATGTAAACAGGGAAACCAGTTACCAGATGAACAACGATGCCATTGTGGAATCCGACTGCGAGAGAGATTTAGGAGTAATGATAAGTAGGAATCTTAAGCCATGTAAACAATGTGTTTCTGCTCGTAACAAGGCTAATAAAGTACTTGGGTTCATACAAAGGAGTGTTAGTTACAAGACTAGCGAGGTCATCTTAAAATTATATCTAGCGCTTGTGAGACCTCACCTGGATTACGCAGTTCAATTCTGGTCACTGTATTACAGAATGGATATAGAATCATGGGAAAGAATCCAGAGGAGAATGACGAGACTAATCCCGGGCATTAGGAACCTTTGCACTCCCTCGAGAGACGTATAGTGAGGGGCGACATGATAGAGGTGTATAAATGGAAGTCAGGGTTAAACAAAGGGGACATTACGAAGGTACTCAAGCTATCCAACCAGGAGCGAACTCGTAACAATGGTTTTAAATTAGACAAATTTAGATTTTGGCGTGAAATAGGTAAACACTGGTTTGGAAACAGAGTAGTGGATGAATGGAACAAGTTACCAAATATCATCATTAGGCTTAGGATAATTATGCATTTGCATATGGAAATGCATATTTAAGCCATTTTTGAGCTAAAGTGCATATTCATATTTTTTTTGTTTTATAAGGCATATATTTGGAAAATTCCAAAATATTATAAAACATTCTTCAACCTCAAGGGTCAAAAAATTCGCGAGCATAACAGCAACGCTGGGGCAGAAATTACTGATATTTGAAATATAAAAGTCCATTTTATTGCACTAATACAAAACCGAAAATACGCGATTTTGTTTTAGTGTCATAATATCCAAAAGGAACATACTTAAGTGACATTTATATAGCTCAACATTAGGCTGTGGTTAGCTAGGCCGTGATTGGCTGGTCAGTGGACATGAATTGTACGTGATGGGTTCGTGTTCAGCCAGGCAGGGTATAGATGCACGGGCTCCACCAGTTCCCACCTGACACTCTTTTGTTCTTCTATTTTCTTAAAAGGAAAATACTTTTTTCAGTATTGTTTAATAAATTACTTTGTCAGTATATTGTTTTTGTATTTAATCCTTCTTTAAAAAATCCTACTTTGGCGACATCCTGTCCAGGAAAGTAAATTTACTGAGAAAATGTACAGAATAGGTGTTATTAACTTAGTAGTTATTATTTATTAACATATTGTAAAGTGCATATTTTCTCAGTTTTTACTGCATATTTGCATGCATATTTAGCCATTTTTAAATGCATAATTATCCTAAGCCTAATCATCATTAACTCGAATACGCTGGATAGCTTCAAACATAGGTTGGATGCTTATATGAGCAATAGGGGTTGGGTATAAACGGGACTGCCCAGTATGGGTCAATAGGCCCGCTGCAGTTTCCTCCATTCTTATGTTCTTATGTTATGTTAATAGCTGGGCCTTATAGTAGGTTTATTTTTATATTACTGAAGCATGCATAATCTTGTGAGGCAATCTACTTAATGCTTCATAAGTAAATTCCAGTGTGTTTTTTTTTCTTTGCTCTGCCACTAGATTGCATACAATATATTAAGACAAGTGTTTTAGTGAAAATCTTGAAGAACATTAACTGCTCAGAGCATAACAGTATACTTCAAAATTATTAATTTTATATTCACTATATTTCTGGTAGCTAATTATGTAACAGTACTGTGCTCTGGTTGGTACTGTAATACTGTACTGTACTCTGGCCCTGCACAGGTTAACCTCCCAACTTTATATAAAAAAAAAAATTCTTCCCAACCCCAAGAATATCCCCCCAAAAGGAGAGGATTTGCAATTTTCATAATATTGTGGTAATTTTACATGCTTTAACCATGGGTTATTCAGTGATTTGATATATTTCAGGTTAGAGATGGTGGGTGTGAGTGTAGTGCAGGTGGGGAGTGCTGTACGTCACACTCCCTTACCTGGACTCACTTATGAAGGAGAGGCAACCCTAAATTCAGAAGACCCAGGCAAGGCTTTAAGCAACAGTGTAACTCAATTCCCTGTGCTGGGTGGATTTGTTGGTGGTGGTCAGCTTGCATGGAGAGCTGCCGGTCCAACTGTGGAAATAATTGAACCCAGCACAGGGACACGAAAAGCCGCATGGACTTTTGGCGCTATACTACACAACACAGGCACTCGGGTAGGCATGGTGTGACTTGCATGCAAGTTATTGGTGGTAATTATAAAAGTAATACTGTACTGTGTAGCATAATGTAAGATATACTCTAATAGTAATTCAGTAGTTAAGCCCTCTGCAGCAACTGAGGATGAAGATGGATCCAAAATGATAATTCCATTTGCTATTTTACATGTTATGATACAGTTATGATTTGAACATGTGAAAACTAGGTAAATATTATTTTTGCAGGTAACGAGTGTGTGTGGGGTTGGTCCAGGGACGATATCTCAAGTCGTGGTTGGTGTAGACCTCGGTGCTGACCGTAAACCCCAGGGAATGGTAGCACTTCTGTCTCTCTATTCTTCAAGACTTACACGGGTTTTTCATTTCACTCACAAGGTAATAAGTGTTGAGAATTTGTGTTTTAATGGTAATTGTTGAATGGTTATTGTTATCGCCACTGGCTTCAGCTACAGTGCTGGTGTGTGATACCATTAAATCTTTCGACCTGTGACCTCGCCAGACGTAGAAGTGTTTACAGACAAGTCCTGGTTCTGCTGAGTGGACTGTCTTAGACTGGTGGCGGTGGCTGCCCGGCCCTCCATGAGACAGATCGCCCTCTCTCGTGATGCTGTGAAGACCAGCCTTCTCCTATCGGTAAATAGTAATTAGTTAGTCTCACACAATTTTATCTTTAATTACAATTTATTAAACATACTGACATAACACAAAGTTCATAACTCTATTAATCTTAGCTTCGCTTCACTCTGCATTGTCTTATTATTCCAGGTTAGGCAGAAACGAGTAGGCGTAATTAGTCAACAATATTTCAGTACCGAGGTGTATGTCATCACTTAGGCTGTACTTACAAGTGCGGGTCAATGCAGATCAGTATGGTGTTCCAAGAGAAAACAGTATTGCGTAAATCGTCCCAGCACGAATTCTCGGACAGGAGAAGGCTGGTCTTCACAGCATCACTAGAGAGGGCGATCTGTCTCAAGGAGGGGCGGGCAGCCACCGCCACCTGTCTAAGACAGTCCACTCAGCAGAACCAGGACTTGTCTGTAAACACTTCTACATCTGGCGAGGTCACAGGTCGAAAGATTTAATGGCATCACACACCAGCACTGAGGCTGAAGCCAGCGGCAATAACAGTTACGATGAAATTATATTAATGATACAGTAATCTCCCCATTTGCCAGAATCTTTGATCACCAGAACTCTCCAATAGCTGGGGGAAAAAAGGAGCATTCCAGGAAAATTATCCCCTTTCCAGGCATGGGAACGAATTTCTGAGCAATACATCGTATACATTTCCGGGAAATTCTGAGAACATCTCTCCGTTATAGGCATAGGATTGAATTTCTGATATATTGCATCGTGTTCCTGATGTGGGGACGCTTGCCGGGTGGGTAGGCTCAGATTGCTCATGACCTGAGATTGGCCACTACTGTCATGTTACTCGTGCCAAAATTTGAAAGCCGAGAAAACCGTGTTGTAAGTTTTTCCGACTTCAAACATGCATAACTTTTTTTCTTTTCTTCTTTGAGATACAGCATTAATTTTGTGTGCATTTTGAAGCTAAAGGACTGTACTTGCAGATGGTATGTAGCGCATCATGAAGTAATGTACTGGGTTGTTGCAATGTTGACTTGAAGCAACAAAACTCCCACCCGCTTATGGCTTTTTTTTTTTTTTACTTTAATCGATATCTGAGTGTAGATCCCGCCACAACAAAAGAGAACTGAGGGAGAGGGATTTTGCGTTCATTGGCTTGAGAGGCCATGACGTAGATGGCAGACGCTCACTGTCATTGGTCGAGATGGGGGAGGAGGCTGCTGGCCGGCCGCTGTGATTGGCCGCCCGCTCCACTCACTCACTAACGGGACGAGAGCACGTGATGACGTGAAAGCCAAGCCCATACTTTCCTGTCTGCCACAAATTGATGTTCTACCCTTTTTTCAAAGAGCTTTCAACTTTATTTACAGTATAGTAAGGAGATCTTATCAACCACCTTCGTATAGAGCTAGTCCGAAAATTGTGCTTTCCAACAAAAAACGGGTTTCGCCTGGGGTGGTCTGAGTGAACCTTATGATGTGGGGGGCCCTCAGTTGATGTATTTCGAAGCTTATCTCCTCAAACTTTTGCATCATAACACTTTTAGTTCATTGTCTGCTGCCATTGTACAAGCTTGTTCACTTGCTCAGTGCTGTTTTCACATACAGTCATGTTGTGCAGAACTGTACTGTACATTATTGTACCAGCATATAATCAGCTATGCTAGTGTGTAGAGGGTGTACTTTATGTACAGTATACAGTGTGTGTACAATCCCTCCTTCATGGAGGGAGAGGAGAGTGACAGCAACGCCTGCTACAGGAGGTAGGACAGGACAAAGGCAGGCCATCCTGTATCATTATATCACCATTTGGCCTGCCTGCATCACAACCTTAAAACAATGTTTTATGATGGGAAGTACAGTATAGTGTGTACAGTAGTATATTTTGTTTATTTCTAATATAATGTACATGAACAGTGGTGTTTGCATAGATAAATCTAGCTCTATGTGTCTGTGCTAGATACGTAGTTTAGACTCAAGAGTAAACATTCCCCAGTACACTGAAAAATTCTGGGATGAGAAAGTTTGTCTATACCTGGATATCTCTCAATCCCAGAACCGCTCTGCACCAATTATTCCGGCGAAAGGGAAATCATTGGACTGTAATTGGTTTCCCCTGACTATATAAAAGTTTGTCCTGCTGATTTTTTATTCCTTTTATTTTTCAGGTCACATCATTATGCATGGTGTCGGGTGGTGAAATGAGCGTAGATTCAGGTACTTTAGCATCTGAGCTACGGCCATGGCATGGGCTTCTGGTGGTGGGCACATCACATGGTACATTGCATCTCCTTGATTTGGCACTGGATCTAGGAGGTTAGTTTTGTTCTTGCTAATTTTGGTATATTGGTGTACCCAGGTGTATAATGGGAAAGGCTGATTGGCATGGTTCATAAAATCCAGTGTATTATACTTAACCCTTTCATGAGTGAGAGAATGTACTGGTCTTGCCCACCAAAGATAGTTTTATACCACTAAGTTTGTCGTGAGTGATGCTTTTATTGACAACAGGCTTAGGAGATAGACTCCCAGGACCCAAACTTGTAACTTAAATCTAATACCCTGTACTGTACTGTAATTAAAAAAATTAGAATACCCTGTATCTTTCATATACTGTACATACTGGATTCTTAAGGAAATAATTGACATAAAGCTTTGCTTATACAGTACATTTAACTGCTTTTGTGTAGGTTTGTTAATGAGTACTTTTATTGGGTCTAAGCCACATACAGTTTACTTTCATATCAATGTACTGTACAACAATGACCTCCTTGGTGGTGCTTCAGCCTGACTGTGCCAGTGTTTTTTTTTGTGATTTTTGGGTGCTGTTTGCTATTAATCTGTTTCCCTTTATATTTTCTGATATTAAGTTCTTTTTCAGGAAACAAAGTGTTGTCTGATGAGATTTCCCCTGGAAATTTAACCAGTGTTGTGACACCTGATCCTCAAGCTGAGCGAAGTCGCATCAATGCTATAATGCAAAACTGCCATCCCACCATGTGTCTTAGTGGTCAGTCTAAACTTTAGAATCTGTTCTTAATAGGGGTGTTAATTATTTTTTTTTTTAACATAAGCATTGTTTTCATTAGATCAAGGTCATTGATAACAATGAATTTTCTCCCTCTTGAAACACATAAGAAAAACTTGCTACTGATCCCTTGTTGACATAATAGAACAACTATACTTTTAGGTAATGAGAATTGATTTTCCACATAATAAATGATACTGTATTTTAGTTGACACATATTTTCACAAAATTCACATATATATGGGAAACACTTGTGTCTTAATTTCTCCAGTACTGTAATTAAAACACCGATATCCCACAAGTTTTGTAGACAGTAATCCCTCACCAACCGCGGGGGTTCTTGAAAACCCCGCCATTAGCAAGACTAAAAGCTTGTGGTGAAAAGGAAGTTAGGTTCTATGGCCACGAATAACACCCGTAAAAGCCTAAGTTGCCTCTTCCTTCACTAAACAATACTTTATTGTACATTTGATTAAATTTGAGTCAAATACATTGCAATTGCTTGATGTAAATTAAATAGAAATTTTTCAGTACATCTGTGGAGATGCCATGTTGCTATAAAATAAGAAAAATGGAGAGTGTGGGTGTGTACCGTATATGTGTGAAGTGAATGTGTGGGTATGGCCTTGAAGAGGTCTCCAAGTTAGACTCCCTGTTGCTACATCCCCTAGTTCTCGCCCTACTAGACCAAACTGTGTTTCCAGAATTATTATAAATTATTTCACTTCATTTGTTTTAATTAGCATGAAAATTAGTGTTTTTCTGGTATTGTTCTTACTGTACAGATTTCTAAACTTCTCACAGATGGTATGAGCTATGGTGGACGATTCCAGTTGATTGGCCCAGATGATAACATTCTGTTTGAGACTTCTGGACATCTTGTGAACATAACTGCCTTGTCATTCATTCCTCAACTAGCGTCTCTTATTGTTGGCTACAACTTTGGAGCTTTCCAGATTATTAACCTGTCAACACTCACTATTGAGTAAGTTATGTGAATTTAATTATCTTTTGGGGGTAGGGGAGGAATGTGTTTGGGAAAAATATCAAGCCTCATTCTAATCTGTTTTATGCTATGCAATGATCACATGATTGATATCATGAGTTGGCTCCTAAATTATTGTATGATCTCACATAGGGGCTGTGTATCATCCCTTCTTTCAGTCCTTAAAAGAAAGGAAAAACACGCATGTTTCACATCACTCCATTAGTAGTAAGCTGGATTATGTCTTCTGAGTACATAATTACAGTGAAAAACTTAAGGATTTTCACTGTATTGTATTTATAAGTACATGTTGCATGTCTCCCTTTCAGAACAATAGAACATTCTCATTTAGTGTGATGATAAATCCTTTTTCAATGAACATACACTTTGCTTGCTTAGAGGACTAGACTTTGTCCATCCACATCTCACTGTTGGGTGTCCTTTTTATAAACTCTTATATGTGGTCATATTATGGTGTGTGGCTGTAGACTTTGCTGTCTATTAACTTTATTTTCTATAACAATTGTAGTTTTGTATGATAGATTCCTTTCATAATATTTTGGGGATTATTACTGATGGGAAAATACAAGTCAGGTTTACTTATTACAGTTTGAGCTATTATGATTGCCATGGTTACAGTTGTCATTATCTTGTTTATTTAGTTCCCATGCATAATGCCCTGCAGTTTGTCTGGTATTAAACCTTTCAAAATGTTGTCATCCCTCCTGCCTCCTTACATCATTATCTGATATCTACAGTATATACCTTTATTAAAAACCTGCCTTTCTGCTTTGTCTCAAAAGATTTAAAATCCCCTTGGTAACATGGTACACTTCAAACTAGTAATTTACTACAGTTAATATATACAGTATTGATTATTATATATTAATATATTTTCAAAATTTCATGTTTGAAATTTTATCAAGGATCCTTAGTAATAACTTTTTATTATGTTTTCCATAGCTGTGCAAGCCCATATGAAGTTAATATGCCACCTGTTCATTCTTTTGCTTGTCAAGAACCAGAAAATGACCCCAAAAACTTTGTGTATCTCTGGCTGTGTCGTAGCTGGGGTCCTGCAGGTGAGAATGTAGTTAAGACGTGATTATTTATCGTTGGTCTTGTCTTCTTTGATATTGACAAAACAGTTGTATATGAATATTAAAGGACCTGAATAACTAACTTAGCATTAGAGTTGTAAATGAATTATACATGAAATACTAGTAAATATTTTCTTAATTTATGTTAATGATATTTAGTGAAATTGTTTCTTTAAAGAAAAACATTTTGATATATCACATGATTTGTGTTTCTTTCTTTACCACCAGGCAAAGATAATAAAAATAGCAAAGGGACTGGTTCACACGCATTATGCACGATGTATGCCATGAACTATGATAGCAAGGTTTGGATTGAAGGTCATGGGTTGTGGTACCAGGGCCTGGCATCTATATCACCCAGATTTGAATTTGATGCCGTTGGTGGACTTGGCCTTAAGGGGCAGCCAGTGGAACCCAGTTTAGTCTTTGCAGCGATGACTGTACGACAAACAACACAAACCTCAGCCACTCCTGGCGGATCATCATCAGTGTCTGCTCTGGCTACACCTGATGAAGACTGTAAGTTGTGAAAAATGTACAATACTGCATTCCTGATGTGAAAACTTGGCAAATGAGAATAATGATTTGAGAAATTAGGTGTAATTATTAGAAATTCGAGATTAGAAGAAGAGTTAAAACTATTATATTAAAATCGAGTTTAATGATATCCTGTACTGCACATTACCAAGTATATAGTAGTGGGGTTAATTTGTAGCAAGGTAAATGTAGTGAAAGTATTGGGAATACAGCAATAAAGAAGAGGGGTGTGAGAAGAGACAGGAACAGTTGCAGATTAACAAATAATTAATTTAAGAAGCATTAAGATTGCATAATTTTACTTTCCTAATGCCCATTGTTAAAACAAAACAAAACATTTAAACTATTAAAAAAGAATGCTGATCAATAAGGATGCATAAAAAGTTGATTGCTGTACTTTACTAAGTTTGATTGTAATTGTAATCAGACATGAATAAATAAAAAAATACCCTTATATAGTACCATACTTTCAGCTGGACCTGTGCCTGAGCAGAGCTTATGTATGTTTGGTTGGGTAGGAGGTACTCTAGAACAAGGACAGGTCTCCATCAACCATTATTTGGCTGTGTTTGACATCAATCAGTGGTACCAGGTAAGACATTGTGCTGGATTCTTTCTACTGCAGTAGGTTGTACACTCGCTCTAAAAAGTATCTTTTATGGAGGGGTACGATGAATTTCAAAATGAACATTGTGACTTCTGTTATCTCGGTAGGGTTGTCTAAATCCTTTGCCTTTCTAGTACAGTTACTCCCCGACTTACGACCTACTCGATTTACGTCCATCCGCACTTACGACCTGCCTCAGTCGTACCAAAATTTGGTCAAATTATGTATTTTTGAGTCCCAAAGTCAGTACACAGACAAAATTTTCATCTGTAATTCACTTTAAAATGGCTGGCAAGCTTAAAAGTGAGTGTTTTGTGGTGCTGAGAAGAAAGAGTCACCAATTTTAGATTTTCTATGTTATTTAAGCATTTCTGACTTACGACCATTTCGACTTACGACCTGGACGTCGGTCCCTAACCCCGTCGTAAGTCGGGGAGTACCTGTATTTCTCAAAAGCTACGTTTGAATAATACAAGAGATATCCAATTTTTTTTACCCCAAAATCAGGGGTCAAACTATATTTGAGATTGGTTTGCACAAGTATATACAGTACCTGGTAATTGAACTTTTTCAAAATATTTCTTAGCAGTGTCAATCGGCTTGCAATTACCAACAATCCTGACAGAACTTTTTGATTAAACTATAGTACTGCACATATTATGGCTGCTGCTTGTTCAGTAGTGTATACACTACGTACAAACAAAAATAGTTAAACAAAAAAATTCTATTGTACTGTACAGTATTGTAGTAGCTGAAATATATATGGAAATCTTTATTGGAAATTATTGATGCTGTGAATCAAATTTCTCATCCCAACTTCCACTTAAAACCTGATGTTGAGTAAAATTTAATTTATTGCCCCTTTGAGGGTTTCATATGAATTGATAGATGAATTTACAAATGATTTTACTCCTTCAGGCACAAATGCCCTCAAGTTTAAAGCTGGAGAACGATCATCTGTGCCCCTACATGAGCTTTCATGTGCTAGACAGAGTACCAGGAAGTAACACAAATGGAGGTCCAAGTGAGTGTGTCTTGGGTGCTGCACCAATACCTGCATCATGGACGCGACACATGTCCCGCACTTGTAACGACAGTGACTGGTTCCCAGCAGCATTATCTTATGGTGAGTGCTGTGATTTACAGACCATGCACTTTGGTACAGAACTCATTATCCCTCATTCTATTCTTACAAAGAAAGCTGCCTCCATTATACACTAGAAATCAAGAAATGAACACCATAGCTTGATAAGGTAATAATATATATATATATATATATATATATATATATATATATATATATATATATATATATATATATATATATATATATATATATATATATATATATATATATATATATATATATATATATATACACACACACACTTAAACAGGGAATGGAGTACATTATATTATATACTGTAGTTGACTAACCTTAGCAACTGCACTTACAGATGCTCATGTGCTGACCAGTGAAGGTTTGATGGAGTACCTTTGCCAGAGTGCACAACAGGCAGCACTTGTTCACCTCACTTCTTGTGGCCCTTCGGCAATAGTGAGTCCAGAGGAGGCCTATGCCATGTGTGTGTTTGCTGGCCTCATACCTCAAGATGCTCAACCCCCTTCCATTGGTTCTTCTATGGTGAGTACAAGTTATTATGTACTGCAGTCTACTGTTGGTTACAACTGATTTTCAGACATGGGTGTAAACTTTCTTATTGCAAACTTCCAACTTGGTCCTGATTCTGAATTGAGGCACCCATACAATCCAATTAAAGTGACTGCAGTATTGTTGTACAGTCAATTAAAAGAGTTTCTTCCAAAGGGAAGAGCTTGAAGTTTGAGTAATTCTCTGACAAGCTTACCATTTAGGAATTACTTGTTATAATATAAGCACAGTGTTCATTTACATTAAATGTAATAAAGGGATTAATGGTTAAGTTGCTGGAATTTTATTAATATCTTCCAATTGGCTCAGCTTTTCTTATTTAGCTTTGCCATTTCAAATATGGCAGTATAGTTCAAAATAAGTGCTTTGAAACATGATTGTGTTGGTGCCGAGTTTCAGCTGTTCTCTTCTTCAGGTGATAGAACGTGAAGCCCTACTCAATGTAGCACTGGATCAACAGCTAATATCTCTTTTGGTCCAATGTGTTGCTGAATTCTCTGAAGGACGGTTCACTAACTTGGGCTGCTCGTTGCCCTCTCTTCTTGAATGGTCATGGTCTCGTGTCTGTACCATCAAGGCTACAAATGATAATCTCTGTGAGTATGAATTACTGTGTATATTTTGACTTTATTGAAAGTTAAGGTGTCATTTGATTGGTGTGATAATCTCTTGAGAGTATGAACAAGTAGAATGCTTTAATGTATCTAAATTTTTAATAACTAAAATATTTTACTTGTTCAATGATTAGTGTTCTTCATGGGGCCACTGTTGGATCACGGACAAAAAGATTGTCTTTTCTTCCATTGATAGATTTGCTCAGTTACACATTCTCCAACCACACAATTTTGAAGGGTTGTAATTATCCATACAGAATGAATATCTACTGTTTCTCAAGCCTTGCAACAATCCTGTCTTCTGACCTTCTCTCAATGCTTATTGCTATCCATGTCTTTCACTATTTCTCAAGGTTAATAACTCCATGCATATTGAGTTGGAAAATTATAGAGATATTGTATGAATATATCTTTTTTGTCATGCATTTCATTGAGATGTTTCATTGCATAGCCTTGTGGTCGCTGTGATAATTTGCCATTTTTGGTGAGTGGAAAACATTTATTTAATGAGTGAAGGATCGTTTTTCCTGTGTTAAGTGTCTTGTGTTGGACAGGCCAGGAACGTATTCCATTGAAACCCATGTTAAAAGGGACCTGATTTATGATATTTCAGTTAACGTTAGAGCTTTCAGGAACACAACTCTATCTTAAATCGGGGGATACCTGTAATGTACAGTTTTACACCTGCCTTCCAAATATTGCATTAAACAAAAACACCTCTTACCAAAGTACTCTTAATGAAATATTCCAAATTCATGAGCTGAATAATGCACCATTTACGTTTATTATGGCTTCATTGTGTGGGTGGTAAGCTGGTGTACAGTATAAGTGATATTCCACCAAAAGAAAGAGGCATCATGAAATAAGCAAAACTTTTCCATTTATGGGTTTAATTTAAAACATTAAGAATATGAAATGTGCATGATATCTGTTCATGGATACTAACTCAGAGTAAATAATGAATTTTGGTAAAGTGATTTTGGTTTAATGCATAAATAATGTTGCTAAACTGTACAATTGCCAATGTTTAAAATGTAAAGAATTATAAATCTTTTGACTATAATTTTTTTTTTGGGGGGGGGGTGAATTATGGGTTTCAGTGTACATTATGGTTGTTATTCTATGATAGCTGTAATATAAATATACCAGGAGTCAAAGTTGAGGTGGTGTTGGTTAGGATGACTGGTCGTACTGCAATTTGTCAGGCTTGTTTGTATGTTTACGCATGTGTTTCAAAGTATGGATGTATTATTACAAATACTACAGTATACAGCTAACATATCTAGTTCATTTACTGAAGCCCATAACTTTATTATTTATTTTATTTTATTTTATTTATTTTTTCTCCCATTTATTGGGCACCCCCCTACATCCTTGTGTAAGTTGAAGCGCAGAAGCGTTTACAGCGCCCAACAGGAAAGCATACTAAGTTAATGCTTGCCTTTATGTCTCATGAGTTAAGGGCGTAGAAGCCTGAAGAGTCAAGGGCATAGAAGCCTGAAGAGTCTGGTTTTTATGTCAAGTTATTGGAAGCTCCAACAACTTGTCCCTGAATATGAATTCGCAACTTTCGATTTACACCAGGTACCTACTTTACTGCTAGGTGAACAGGGACTAATGGGGGCTAGGAAGTATGTCCAAACAACTTCCACCGGCCTGGGAATCGAACCCGTGACATCTCGCTTGCGAAGGCAAGAGCGGTACCACTCTACCACCAGCACCCCCCAGTTTATTTTTTTTTATTTTTTTTTAGGTAATTGTACATAATAACTATAAACTTGACTCTAATGAAATATTTTTCCTTTATGTTTATATAATTATTTCAATACTTTCAGCTTTACCTTTGTTTGATCCTGACTGTGGGGTGATGAGTTCTGAGAGCATCGCCACTCTCCACCAGAACCTGACCAGCCTTGCTTCCCTCACCACCATCATTACTACCATTCGTGATTATGCCAGTACGAATATGATCACTCTGCAAGGTATGACAAAGCCAGTTTAAACTAATTTTTTTTACATGCCATTTACAGAAATTTTAAAAGAAAAATTTATTATCTTATGAGTCAATTTGATTTTGTGAAGTGTATCATAATTAGGTCACGAATACCCTTCTGTTAAATAGTATTCGATGTGATATACTGTACAGTAAAAAACAAACATAATTCGTACCTCCAAATTCAAAATTAAATTACTCCTAATCCACAATGGTTCAGCCAGGTCGGTATTGTTATTATTATCCCCTCTGTATTTCTGTGGCTTAATAAACTGTTTCAATATCAATAAAAATGAAGAATATATGACAAGGAAATTGGTAGTTCATAGTAATACAAGTGCCGATCATTATTAAAGATGTATTAGCTGGCATTAGACAATATACAGGCAAGCTTTAGTTTGCTGTTACTGCTTCTTCATGAAAAGCAGACATGATAAATGTTTCTGTTACTCAAGCCAGTATTAAAGGTTCCAGGTCAGAACTGCCATAAAGGTTTCATTCTCCCTTTAGAACTGTCGTAAAATGGGGAACTACTTTGTGGGCTTTTCCTACAAATCAGTCCGTGGCCAAGCTTCTTAGACAGTCTATTAATGCCTACAGCTTAAAATCACCATAATAGCTACAGCTTGTTTGATCAGTGACCCTGTGGAGAGAAACTTAACTACAGTATTTATCTTGAAGATCACCCTTTGGCCTGCAGATGTTAACACTGTTCTTTGATAGTAGGAGTACTCATGGCACTCTTAGTTTTGAAATGCAAACTCAACAGAAAATATTCCTAAAGAAGAGAACGTGTGGATATTTTGTTTCCACTTGTGGTTCTAGAACTTCATTATAGTATTGGTATAGAATTTATTCATTGTTTTAGTTGTACTGTAATGGAAGTTGAAATTGACCCATTACTTAGCTACTTTTTACTTATATTTAGAAATGGTTTTTGATGTGCAAAAAAATGCTGCTATTAAAAACTATCATTTTGGTTTTACAGATACAGTACAAGTATACTGTATTATTATTACATTAATATAGTACTGGATTGGTATTTTACAGGTGCTGGTGAATTAGAAAATCGTGTTCAAGTTGTGAGTCTTCTAATGTTACACTTGAGCGTGGTGCTGTGGTTCTATCACTGTGGACTTCTTTCTCACACCCCTACTGAGGATGTCATCGAGGAATGTCATGTACCATTCCCTGCAGAGCTCTTACGGCGCATATATAAAAATAGGTTCGCATCATTTCGTTCTGTATATTTTCTGCCATTTTGTTGTGGTAATATAATGTCCATGGACAATTGATTTCCATACTTTTGTTTCTTTTATCAATTCTTTCCTTAAAATTTTTTCAAGCTTGTTACTATAAAAAATTATGATTTTCAAATATACCTACAGACGTTCTGAAATCCAGCGCCTTAGTTCAACTCTCGTTGGCCATGAGGTGTTGATGATTGATGGCTTGCTGAACGATGCTGTTGGAGGTGCGGGCGGTAGCATTTGGGAGGCTTGGGAAAGAGAGGGAGGCAGCAGAATGTATCCTCCTCCCTCACTTCACGCTCTCCTTGCCACCTTCCTCCTCCCTGATGTATCGACCACCACTAAACATCGTATAGTGCAGTATCTCTTCCTTGACCTTGCTTCTCTCCTGTCTGATGGGTGAGTTCTTTGTATTTATGACAGTGAAATTATTTATTAAATAACTTAAGACACTTCCCAAACAATAATGAGTGACTAAGGCTGATAGTAACTAGATTATTGACTTTAGACAAATCTGGGTAACATAATTTGAAAAGTTTCATATAGACTTCAGAACTGAAATTTTCTTCAACTCCAGTAAATGCTGTGTGTGTGTTAAAATATGTATTTAGATCTTGGAAAAAATATTTACAAAGCTAATATACAAAAACAAGTATATACTGTATACTGTAGTTCTTTGATTTCTCATAAATGCCAGATAACCACTTTGGAACTTTTCTTTGTGGAACTTGGACATGAAAGTTCTAGCCTGGTCTACTTTGACATACTGTACATTAAACTTTTCTTACTATGCATTTTGGTAAATTATGAAAGATTTTAACACCCAAAACTTTTTGGCTAAACACTTCTTGCCAGGTAGCTCCCTTATACAGTATTGGAAGACTTACATTGCAACAAGTCATAATAGAGCCTGACTCCAATATCATTACCAGTGCCATCACCTTTTTATGGAATACAAATTAATGGAGTCCGTTATTTTTCAACTCCAGTTAAGGGTAAAAGTTGGCATATACAGTATATATCCAGATCCTAGATCCCCTTTGGCCGGACAACATGTAACATATTGCGCATCTTAAAGCCACCACATCATGATATAAACTTGTTTGGGTGAGGAAGAATATAGCTAGTTAAGGATTAGCCCATTACATGTATCAGGTGATCTTGTCCAGTACAGTATTGTTATAAAATCTTTCACAAGTTTTTCACTGGGTGAGGCTCATCCTTAATTTTCCATACATCTGCTTGCTAACACTTCTTCTAAAGAATAATAATCTTAAGATGTAATACAGTAGAACGTCGATTTAAAGCGATACTATTTAAGATTATTGATTTAAAGGGACACCCACAATTAAGGACAATGTTTTAATTTAAAGCGAAGCTTTCCTATTTTGCGCATCATATTTTAAAATTCGCACCTAATGTTTCTCTGGGCACTCTTCACTGTCCTAAGGGCTAAGCTGTACTGTACATGTACTCAAAATAATGTGCTAAATGATTACTAAAATTTTTGTCTAGTGCAAACTATAACATGATTATATTCAAATTAATCACTATCTTATAAGAATTCCAGCAATGTAAATTATATTCTCCTCGGTCACTTCTGTAACATTTTCTAAAAAAAAAAAATCCCTCAATCTAAAGGACAAATAAACAAGTAAATACTGCACTAGACTTTTGGTGCCAACTGTCAAGCATGTCACTGTCACCTCCCCTTCCTTCCTTCCTCCCTCCCTCCTCCCCTCCCAGCCAGGGTTTGGTGGTTATACAGTAGACTTAAGTTTTTATCTTATATAATAGCACAGACTAAAGTTAGGAGAATGTAATTCCCATTGCTAGAATCCTTGCAAGACAGCGAATGATTTGAATATAAACGTCATATATTTTGCACAAAAGATAGAAATTTTAGCCATTTGTAATTAGAACCAAAATTTGTATGTCTAATGCAAACTATAGCATGTTTATATTCAAACTAATCATTATCTTATAAGAATTCCAGCAATGTTAATTATATTCTCCCAGGTTAGTTAAGTGACATTTTATAAGAGAAAAACTTAGTCACTCTTAAGGACATAAATAAATAAGCACTAGACCTTGGCATCAACTGTCAAACATATCACCTCACCTCTTCCCCTCCTCACATCTTCCCATCAGCTGACCACTAGTAAACAGACCATTTCACGTCCCATAATTTTTGCTGTGTTGATTTATGAGTGTTTGTTTTAACATAATACTACAAAAAAACAATGTTTTGTTTATTCTAGGAGATGGGCTGAGGTGCATCTGGGTAGACTCAGTCTTTTTAGTATTTTGTGTTTCTCTCAAGTACCAAACTAAATTATTCCATTGAAACAACACTTCGATTTAGTGCGAATTTGATTAAAAGCGACCCCTCTTGGAACGTACCCCGTGTTATATCGACGTTCTACTGTATTTATAGTGTACTTAATTATCCTTCTAAATAATCCGGAACAGTCCATTTCCATGGTCCAAGACCAGTAAATCAGAACTAGATACATAATAAGTTTTGTTTTAATTTTTAAAATGTATGTTATGAAAGACAGTGAGTAGGCCATTTATTAAATTATATTTTTATACAATAAGTGTGTGTAACTTTTTCCAATAGGTATGTCAGGGTTGTCGAGGAGCTTGTGAAGTATCCCTCCAGCTTTTCACTGTCTCCATCACATATCAAGTTAACACAGGCCTTTTGGCTTCTGGATCATAAGGATTTCCAGGTGAGTCAATGATATAAAACTGATTAATTGTGGAAACTGATAATGTAAATCGACAGTGCCAGGAAATGATCAAAATCATTGTCATGTAGTGCAGAGTTTATAAAAAAATTAAACTGTGCTCCCAGCCATTAGGATTAGGATTGTCTTATTTGGCTTATCATTTTATCAAACTTAGCTAGTACTGTATCCTTAATGTCCATGTTCTCTTATCTTTATAGGAGGGGCTCAACGTGTTGCTGGATCCACTTGTGAACACCAATGACATAACATCGTGGCAGCACCGTCGTATTATGAAGGCTTTTCTTTACCAGGTTAATTTTACCAAATGAATGGGTTCTTTTGTACTGTGATTATGAATCATGGAATGTTGTATAATTTTAAAAATGCTGTACATTAGGTGGAGTCTACTGTTGCAAAAGACAATGCAATACTGTGTAACTATATCCATATTGGCTGCTTTTAAATTTATTCATACTTAATGCAAAAATTTTCAAAGGGACTTAGCAAACTTAAATAGGGAGAAATTTCTAATTTTTCCATAAAATAAACAGTAATGCATTTTCTATGTAACATAACCAGTGTTTTTTCTTTTTCTTTTAAACAAGGGTGAACACAGTAGAGCCTTGACATATGCTCAAATTCGTCAACCTCCCAAGGTAGATCTCGATGATATAAGATTACATTTAACTCTCCTATTGGCCAATGGACTCGTCAGGGAAGCCTTCCACTACCAACGGTCACATCGCATCAAGAATAACTCTCAGGATCTTCTCAACCACCTTTTTACTGGTAAGTCTTTTTTGTTGTTGTTATGTGGTAATGTTATTACTGTATTGAGCTTCAACAACTAAGGTCCTTAAGTGTGTACCAATGTTAGTACTGCAGTAGTCCAACAACACTAAAAATTATGAGATAGAACTCTGTATTTTGGTGTACTGACAAGAGGTACTGTTGTAGGTTCTAGCAGAGATAGAAATAGTCTTAGATATGATATTCATGAAGAAGGCACATGCAGTTGATAAAATGACAACTTAACAATGGTGGCACCTGCCGAGGGGAGAAACATGATTCTGACATGATTTTTAAGACAGTCTCTCATAATGTTTCACACACTTAAGCAACAAGCCAGACGAGGCAACTGAGTGTTTAGAGTTGGTGAAATAAAGCACTGCCTGTATTCATATATGATCGTTTATGCTCCAATGCACACGCTGATGCCCAGACTACTACTCCCACCTTTTCCCAAGTGCGGGGATGCTTCCTCACATGCAGTACCAATTGGGGGGGGGGGACGACGACGATTCGGAATCTTTTAATCCAGTGGTTCTCAACCTTGTTTGCCCCATGCACCCCTTTCACCATATGTCAGAATGTCATTCCCCCCTCCTTTCCAAGATTGTCTGCCTCAAAAAGTGCATTCCAAATAATATGCATATAATACTGAAAATCCTTTATTTTTTCCATATTAGTATCAGTTCCCCCCCCCCCCTGAAAACCTGAGGGGGAAATTCCCCCCTGGTTGAGAACCCCCTGTTTTAATCATTTGATACTCCCAGACTCTAAAGTGCTTTAAAGGTGGCCCATGGCCATTAGACTGAGTGAGAAGCTGGCTGAGGTGGCACTGCATTCAGTCATTGGAACCAATCCATGCCAAACTAATGCAAAACTCCCATGCAGCTCCATGCCAAGTGCCTCATAGCACCAGATACTCCTCCTTCCCTGGGAAAACTGCATGGTACAAGGAGACAGTGTGAACGGGTCCTACTTGCAGCACATATGGTTTTTGTATTTTGATTCGAGTTTTTACAAAATTGGTTGAATTTTGTGTTTACAGTGAAATATTTTGCTATCAACAGGGTGTGAACAGCTAGGAAAGTTGGAGTGTGTTATTCACCTACCCCTTTCACCTTTGGAGGAAGAAGCACTTGTTTCCTACCTCCAAGCCTCAACTAATACATCTGCTCATGACTATCTTCTCGTTTATTACCTCCAAAGGGCCAGGTTAGTAGTTATTTTGTTATTTATTCAGTTTCATGGTTATTTCACATTGTATGATAAATGTCAGCACTTGTACTGTACTTGTTTGGTCATCAGTAGGGTGTTAACAGCTGAGCAAGTTTGAAAATGTTATTCAACTTCATTCCTTCTCACATGAAGGAAGAGAAAATAGTTTTCTGCTTCTAAACCTCAGATGGCTCTTGGCCTTCTATAGCAGTACAACTGTGGAAGAATTGGTACCTCTATAATATATAAATATTTTTTTGGGTCTTATTCTGGTGGTAGTGTTTTTTAATGTACTGATTTTGCATGTTAATGTTTGTCAGACTCATTTGTAAATGAGTGCCAGACAATTTGTTTTCATATGATGGATTGTCATCTTATTGGTAAATATTTGCCACTTCCAGGTATGATGAAGCCGCTGGCCTTCAGGACAGTTTGCGTGGAGGCTTGTGCACTGCTAAGAAGCGACAGGGAGCGCGATCTGCACTTGTCCATGGCTACCTCACTCACTTACCCGATGTTGCTAAGAGAGTAAGATTTTTTTTTTTTTTTTAACACAATGCCAGGTTGAGCAATATTAGTACATTTTCAAATAGTATTTTATCAAAGCATATGTGTTAGTGTAGGAGAGAGGAGAAGGGTCACATCTGTTTATGAGTGCCTAACTGAAAGTTCATAATGAAGGTTCTGTCATCTTGGTATCTTGCAGTGTGAGTTGTCCCTCTGTTTTAGGGTAGTTTATGCATTAAATGTTGATTTTTGGGCATTTCTCCACCATTTTTGTGAGCGAGAACTTTTCATACATGTGTATATACTATATATGTATATTGTCATGGATTTGGGTGCATCGGTGGTAGTAGGAGTGGATTATATTATATAAAGATAATAATATGTCGTATTTCTTATTTCTTACCGTGGAGTTTGATACCTTCACACTGATTACTTACAGGAGATTATGGCGTATCTACGTAGAAGTTCACTCCACCACTCGACATTCCATGATTTATACTTGATAAATGATGATTTAATAGATTCATTTAATTTCCAACATCTATCTAAGTTATTGGTTATACTTTGTCATAACCAATCAGTCATTACCTTTAGTAATAATAAGATAGGATCACAGATACGGGCAGATAATTGCACTTACATTTATTTGTCAAGCTTCCATACAATGATTTACAATTTGCATGGATATATGATTCACTCACATTCACGCTGTAATAAAATTAATCTTCTAAAAGAGAATTTTAACTTGGGAACACAAGTGATTACTCTACTATGGGTATGACCTAACAGAGCCTTAATTCTTCAAGTGATACATTTACTGCCAGCCTGGATTGCTTTTGTTGCAACCAGGCTTCCGCACAAGAACTTCTTTCCACGGGCCATAGCAACAAAAAGTACTCTTGGGTTACCACACATAGTCTCGCGTCACTGACAGTCACGGGAGACGGTTGTCGCGGCAAGGAGAACTGGTAAGCGTGACTTGAATTAACCATTTAGGTGCAATAGACCAGCCTGGATTGCTTTTGTCGCAACCAGGCTTCCACACGTGATATTTCCACGGGGATAACAAACCTAGGTTAACACACTTAGTCTCGTGTCGATCACGGTCACTGTAGACGGGTGTCGTGCAGGAGAACTCTGTAAGCGTGAATTAATTAACCATTTACTGTAGGTTTGATAGGCCAGCCTGGATTGCTCTTGTCGCAACCAGGCATCCACACGTGATATTTCCACGGGGATAACAACCTAGGTGAACACGCTTAGTCTCGTGTCGACGACGGTTCACAGGACGGAGTGGCAGTGGAGGACTCTGTGTGGTGTGGTGTCCTGCCCCCTTTCAGGAGGGAGAGGATGGAGACGACGTCTTAACTAACCCATGGCTCAGGGGATACTATTTAAAATGAGGTTTTTGGGTGTGAAGCGATGAACAGTACAACACTGTTTCACTGCTCACCCCCCTAAAGGCTGGCTAACATACATTAATTGAAAAATACATGTCCCAGTTATGCCTCGCCGGGTGTCTTATCTCTGGTAAAACAAACTTTGGAGTTGGTTGCGTGGGTAAGCCTAACGCAACCCATGACATATATATACACCCTTGCTCAGGTTGCGCTCTGAGCTAGTTTCTTGAACAATGTGGGCCAGCATGTCACTCACTTTGCTTAGTGTGTGGTTGGGGGAACAGTATGGTTACTGCTCCACCATCCTTATCCTTTGAACATATTTGTCTGATATTGAAGTTATTTGTATTTATTTATTAATTTTTTCCTCCAGTTGTCGGGTGGTATGTTGAGGAAGGTTGGTCCTACACGGGTCATCTATTCAAAGCCTCAGCCACTTTCTGCACAGATCCGTCAAGCTGCCTCAAGTCCCAGGTCTCATACTGCCAACATCAATAGAATGTTCGAGGATAATAAAGATGAATGGTCTTCAAAGCAGGCGGCCATTGCACCTTTCACACCATTTAGAAACAAATCTCAGAGGCGCAAAGCACACGAACCAGGAAAGTCTGATGACATTTCAGATGCATTCACACCAAAGAGAAGCTCATTAAGGTAAGGCTAACCTTAAAAACTTATTTTATCATAAATCACTTTATTCCCCATTCAGATTCTCACCATCAGCAGGTATGCATGCTTAGGCTTTGAATGAACTAAAAAGTGTGTCATTGTTGGTCAAACTTGAGTCCTGGGTGTGGCATCGGGGATCTCAGCTTCCCTCTACCAGGCCAACCTATGTGCTGTATTATGGTTATTTTTCAACTAGTATTTTTGGGTAGATATACTTTTTTTTTTTTTTTTTTTGGTTAATACACACACAATCTTTCATACAGACAATTGTGGAAGGGGGAGGGGGGTAGCATGCACCTGTCTTCCATGCCCTTAGTGAAACGGTTACCAAATGATAATGCAGTATTTTTTCTTTTCTTTTATTTATTATTAGTATTTTTATTTATTCCTCACAATTATGGGGGAATGCATTAGACTGGGAGGGATGAAGATGCCATACTAATCTGTGGATACATAAAATTAAATGCCACAGTTGGTGAAATGGTATACAGAGTGAAAACCGTGGATACATGGTACCCGCAGATAGAAAATCCGCAATTAAAGGATTAATGCAAAATAATGTGACGCATGCGGATCATCTGCAAGCACTGTCAACAAGTTTTCACATCTTCAAGTTTGAACACCCAGCACTAGTTCTTACAACATAAGCTAACAAGATTTTAAGTTTAATTTAACTTATTTTATACAAATAACCACTAATTAATTTTCCATAGATTTTTTAAAGTTACTATATTATCTTCTCAACAGAGATACGTCTCATGTAGTGTTCCCCTCTCGAGTTCAAGCATCACACTCCAGGTTTATTGAGGAGGAAGAGGTTGAGATTGGGCTCTTCAGTCCTTCCGTAAAAAGGAGTCACCTAGGAGAATCTTCCCTTATACGTGATGATGTATCAAAGCTCATGGAATCTGTTTTAAGAAGAAGCATGTATGTTTCAGGATCAGAAATAAATGCCGGGTGAGTGGATAACTTAAGTACCAGTTACATATATTGTACAGTATTGTGGTGAAGGAGTTCATTAATGACCATCAAGTTAATTCATGCATATTCATCCAAAAAAGAGCATTGAATAATAAGAGAGAGTTTTGGCATTTGGAATTTAAATAATTATTAATAATGTTTTTTTTCCTTCATTTAAAACTACATTTGCTGACATTATTTTCTCCCACAGTATGACCCAGAATATCTCGTCAGACTTGATGTCGTTGCTACAGACTCCCAAAATTATAAGAAAAAGAAAGTCTGGGGTACAGTCAAGTGCTGAGTCCCCTCTTGTTGATACACCTCAGTCAATACTTAAGGTAAGATACAGTACACAGGTCAAACTAGCCCTAGAACCCAGACCTGAATTTTCACGTTAACACGCGAGGAAGACCAATATGGGAGGGTGATAAATTGAGTGAATAGAATTGTGATGCTGGCTTATGTAAAGTGACATATAAACCAGAATTAGGGCCTTGCTTTAAAAGGAATAACACAGCAGAACACACCCCTTAAACCAATAAAAATGAGTAAATGACAATAAGTAAAGGATGAACATTTGTGTGTGTGGTGTATTTCCAGATGTTGAGGATGAGGGTGATATTCTGGTGGTAATTAAGGAGATCCATATGTAATGTTACCAGTGTACAAACTTTGTTCATATAAGGTAGACACAGCTCATGTGCCATTAATATATTTTAAACACTGCAGGTGCGTCAGATGGTACAGAGACCACTAAGCCCGTCTGCAGCCAGTGATACTTCAATCCCTGTGTTTCCTCGACTCAGTGCTAAGAAGGGCAGCACATGTATGTGTTCTTGAAGCTATAATTTATAAAGTATACCTTAATTCTCTCTCTCTCTATCTGTTATAGCTTTTTGAAATAAATTTTTGTATCTTATATTGTAATGTGATAACACTGTTAACAAGTCCATAAGGTACCATAAGAAATAACTCTTAAGAGAACCATAGTCAATAAAGATTTTGATGTGTGCAAGAGAGGGGTAGTGGAGTTAACAAAATTTGATCAGATTGTTCTATTCTCTAGATTACTTGGAATGTTGATAATGGCCCTTTGTAGAGTTTTAAGACTGCAGGAATCAATTTATATAATGTACTTTACTGTTCTGTGTTTGCCCTTTTAGCAACTGCTGATGACACACTGCAAAGTCGAGCTAATGATACCAGCATGACTCCTAAGCAACTGCGTTTCCACCTTCCCAAAATGAAAATGGATGACGAGATTGTTGCAAAGGAACAAGCTGAGGATGAGGAAGAAGAGGTGATGCCAGTGGATGATAACTATGCTTCAGAAGAGGAGGAGGAGGAGACAGAAAAGGATATAGAAGAAGAAGAAGCAGAGATGGACGTGGAATATGAACGGAAGGAAGAGAAACAGGTAAAAGAATTTGAAGTGGATGAAGAGGAGGAGGTAGAAGAATTTGAAGTGGAGGAAGAGAAGGATGCAGAAGAATTTGAAGTGGAGGAAGAGAAGGATGTAGAAGAATTTGAAGTGGAGGAAGAGAAGGAGGTAGAAGGATTTGAAGTGGAGGAAGAGAAGGAGGTAGAAGAATTTAAAGTGGAGGAAGAGAAGGATGCAGAAGAATTTGAAGTGGAAGAAGAGAAGGAGGTAGAAGAATTTGAAGTGGAGGAAGAGAAGGACGTAGAAGAATTTGAAGTGGAGGAAGAGAAGAAGGTAGAAGAATTTAAAGTGGAGGAGGTAGAAGAATTTGAAGTGGAGGAAGAGAAGTATGTAAAGGAAGTTGAAGAAGAAAGTAAAGAGAAACTAATACAAACATCAGTTACCATTACACCCCGTCCAAACATCCATAGTCTCAACTTGAATCCCCTAAAGTGAGTACTGTAATATATTAATGTTACTGTATTTCCGTTGACTATAGTGTGATAATGTGATGGTTAAGTGATTCCGGAATCTGCAGTTGACTTTGATTGTCAATTATTTCATTGCCCTTCTGCCCTTTCATTACAAGTTGATTTTGATAACTTAGGTAAGATCAAATAATTTTCAGCTTTACAGGGAATGTAAAAGAATGCAGGAATTAAGTTAATCATAAAACCACTGTGCCAAGTTCATCCACCCTTGATGCTTGGTTTTATATACGATACTGTAGAGTCCAGTGCATTGATTAAGTGCTGTTGGAGTGACTTTGATATTTGTATATTGATACAATTGATACACATACTGCTTAAAATTCTAGTTTTTACCTTCCCAGCAGAAAAGATTTAGCTGGATATAATCATGGCATCACTATATTCCACTCATCTATCTGTAGATAAAAATATTTTCCCAAAAAAACATTCTGTTGTGGAAGTGAAGCCTATTCATTTTATTCTCAAATGATCATCCATTTTCATTCATGGTTTTAATTTAGATATACAGAGAGAGTGCTCTAGGAAATTTGGTGCTTAGAAAGTGAGATTTGTGTGAATACTTATCAGGGATGGAAATTAAAGTGCAAGTATTGAGGCAAGAAGGGTTGCACAGCTTGCAGACTCATTTATCTGTCACTGTCTTGCATTGCTAAAAAGTATAGATTCTTCCATTTTTTTTGTCATGGTATTTTTCAAGGGTGCACTTGAGTGAATGAATAATGTTAGGTAACAATTACAAAAATGAATAGGAAAAAAGTTGAATTTTTAAGGTGAAAGATTGTTGCCCTTACTTGTTCTTATGGTGTGTGTAAATAGGTCATATATACTTGAGGAAAACCACTTTTGTCAACTAGATTAGAGTATGTCAAAAGGATATTTGCACACATCCCCTCCCCCCAACACTTTTTTTTATGGTATGGGAAAAAAATAAATACAGTAAATAAAAAATAAATTGAAAACATGATGTAAGGCTTCAGAGATAATTAAGACATCCAAGGGTAGGTCAGTTCATATACTCATTAACTGAGCATATTGAGGGTGATATCTCAGTGAAGGCAGCTATTACTTAAATGACCCCAGCCAGATGCAGTTTTGCTGCCACAGAAATACATTTTCTTCTAGGGTTTTTATCAAAATCTTATTCAAACTAGTGTACTCTAACATGTTCTCTTAACTTTGGAAATATTAATTAGGAGTGTAGGTCAGCAAGAAATTTGGTATAATACCCTTTTATCACAACAGACACAGGATGAAGTACATATTTTGTTATCCATCTTTTTAAATAAGCCAATTATTCCCTTACTCTTATGTCAGGAATCCAGATTCCGGGATCCCAACGCCTCGTCAACCACTTCGTAGCTTCGTTGTCAAAACAAGTGGCATGTCACCTGTATTACACCAGAGGTTAGCAGGCTTCTCTAGGAGCCAAGCTTATGGGTGATGTGGGTTATGGACACATCTATTTAAATGAATTTGTCTGCTTGTGTAGATACTACATGATATGCTTTGGGGGCAGCTGAAACAGTGGTTTCTGACATTGTGAGCAATGTTTGAAATACTGTCTACATTATCAGATTTTTTTAATTTTTATTTTTTCCTTTAGATCTGTAACTCATATCATTATCCCTCTTGCAGTGACATCACTACAGATGTAGATGAAGTGGATACTAAACAATTTGAAGGGGAAGAGCAAGAATATTCATTTGTGTCCCCAAGTAAGGATACTACTAATAATGATGAGTTCTACAGCTTCACTGAAGAAGAATCTGTGGACAAATTTACGGAAGATGAAGAAGAATTAGAAGGAGCAGAGACGTCTAAAGAAGCAGGAAAGAGTGAGGATGAAGAAAAAGAAATGTTGGAGGGAACTGAAGAAAGTGACATTGAAGGTGTAGAGAGGTCAAGAGAACTGGGAGAAAGTGAGGATGACCGTGTACTGAAAGTTAAATGTACTGAAGAGGCAGATGATGACACAACCAGGCCACTGGAAGGTGATGAGGAGATGCATGATGAGGGACTTTATGATAATATGGATCCAGAAGAAACTGAAAAAGCAGAGGAGGAAGCCCTTTCATTTACGTTTGATGAAAGATCTGAAAGTACTCATTCAAGTATTGTTGATAACGATGAGTTTTGTATTGGGCTTCCCTCTGAGAATGAGGATATGCACGGTATAGAGGAAAGAGCACATGACACATTGAATTCTGCAGTTAAGGAGGGTGAAGAGGTTCCTGAGATGTGTTTGAATGAATCAGAAATAATCAATCCCCTTGAATTTTCTGATTCAGAAGAATCAGATACAGCAAATGACAAGTCATCAAATAGGGAGCAAGAAGAATTATTTATTAATGAAAACTTAGCCGCAAAAGAAAAAATATTGTCTGTTAATGAAGATATACCCACAGACGTAACAGAATCAGACATGAAGGAAGTGTGTGCCATGGAAAAGAGTTACATAACAGGAGATAAATGTGAAAATCAATCTACAAATAATGAACTTAAAGAAGAAGGATTGGTAGTGGAGGAAACTGTTGTTGATAATGGTATGCATATTATGGACACAGATCATGAGATCACAGAAGAGGAGGAGGAAATGATCGCTGATGCTATTTCTGATGAAGAAGACGATATCTGCTTATCCCTCAACGCATCTGAACGCTTCAGTCCTTTGCGTTTTTCTGATTCCGAGGAAGAAAAAAAGGAAACCGAGAGTTGTATCAATCAGGTAGAAGACATCTGTAGCAATGAAGCAAACTCAGCAGTTGAAGAAAAGCTGTCAGAAGTAAGTGAAGACCAGGGTGCTAAAATACTTGAAGGTAATAATGCAGAAGAAAAAAGTATGGAAGCAGATATCCCCGAAGAACAGAAAATTGAGGCAAGTACTCCTGCCGAGAGTAGTAATGAGCCTGATGTCATGGAGAGAGAAGATGAAGCAACTGTTGTCCTGGGTGAGACTGTGGAAGCAGTTGTTCCAAAACAAGAGGAAGGCAGTGGGGTGACAAACATTGATCAGCTTTGTTCAAATGACGTACAGGGAAATGAAGGTGAAATATCTGCAACAACCTCAGTACTTAAGGAAATTGCTGGTGTTTTGAATGAACAAGGAAATGAAGGTGAAATATCTGCAACAACCTCAGTGCTTAAGGAAATTGGTGATGTTTTGAATGAACAAGGAAATGAAGGTGAAATATCTGCAACAACCTCAGTGCTTAAGGAAATTGGTGATGTTTTGAATGAACAAGGAAATGAAGGTGAAATATCTGCAACAACCTCAGTGCTTAAGGAAATTGGTGATGTTTTGAATGAACAAAGGACTGAAACTGTCACAGAAAATAGTAAGTATGTCAAAGTAGATGAAAAAGGTTATTCTGAACAGGATTCTCAGGTCTTGAAATCTGAAGAAGAAGCTTACCAACCAGTTGAAATAAGCAGTGAAGAGGTGGTTCAGAAAACAGAGGTACTAGACTCTGAAGAAGTAACTGAAGAAAAACATGAGGAAATGGAAGTAACCAAGGCTATTAAAAATGAGGAAATGGATGTGATGGAAAATGAAATGCAAGTTTCTAAAATGACAACTCAAAATGGCAAAGGCGGAGAAAAAATATGTCAGGATAGTGTTTTGGGATCTAATTTGCAAGCAGTCAATCAGGAAGTCTCAGTAAAGGATGATAAGATTATCCCAGACAATGAAACCTCTATGGAAGTTACTGAGGAAACTAAATTATCATTATCGCCAAAGAGGGGTTCAAGTCCCATTGAAGCTGCTAACATTCCACCCGAAGCTACAGAGGATGCTACCTCATCTTCACCAAGGAGTTCAAGACTTAGTAGTGTTGTAGACACCGATACTACAATTGATGAAGCCATGGTCCAAAATGCCTCACCAACAGGGAGCTTCAGACATGGTGAGAAAATATCCCAACCCATCTCACCAAGCAGTAGCCCAAGACTTAGTAGTTCTGTTGACGCTTCTACAGTCCATGAGGAAATTACCCAATCATACTCAACAGGGAGGAGTTCTAGGCATAGTGAAGCAGCAGGCCCCTTGACATCAGATATTGAGAAAGATGGCGTGGCAGTTTCGCTGAAGGGAAGTTTGAAACATGGCGACGATACAAATGCCTTTACCAAAGTCACAGAGGCATGCAAAATAGTCTCAGCAAAGTTAAATTTGAGTGATGCAGAGATGTCTCCCATAGATACTGAGGAAAGAACTTTGACACTTTTGCCAAGTTCAACACAGGATGATACTGTAGACATTACTGTTAAAGTGGACAAGGAAACTCTATCACCAGATAAGTTTTCAACACAAGACTCTGAAACCACTCTCAAACCAGGAGAAAAACTTGCCATAAAGACACCACCACAACAGAGTTTAGAAAGTTTTTGTGCAGACACATCTTTGGTAACCACTCCCAAGAGAAGTGTAAGGCACACCCATGGAAGCGATTCACAAGTTGTAGTTGCAAAAGAAGACACCCCAAGTAAAGTAGCAACTCCTCTGAGACGAAGTCGCAGGCTGAGTTCTGCATCACCTGCCACCCCAAGTACACCAAATAGAACCAGTAAAACCATCACTAATGCAGAAGTTATTACACCAACTAGAGAACTATTTAAAGCAGCTGATGTGGTTGAAAGAATAACAAGATCTGGAAGGAAGATACTCCAAGTACCAACACCACTTACAAAATCAAGATCAGCTCAAGGTCCAACCCATGACACTCTTGACAAGAGGTCCACAAGAGGAACAGTTGTACCTGAAGAAGTTGAAAAGGTTTCCCAGAAATTGGAATTATCTCCTGGTGTTGCTACTCTTGGTGCAACAGCTTCTGTATTAAATCATAAGAGGTCTGTCAGTCCATCTACTCAGGATGTCTTGCCAACTCCTCCAGTATCGCCAACTGCACCTTCTGCTAGACAACAAAAAACACAAAACACTGAAGAAGATTCAGGGCGAGTTATTCTTACACGATCTAGGAGACGGTCTGCTCGACTGAGTGTTTCAGAAGAAACACTTGAAACCATTGTGGAAGGACAAAAGCTCGAAAGGGGTTCAGGGGGTTCAGAGATTGAAGAGAAAGATACCGTTTCTCATTCAACCAAAACTCCAATTAAAGGTACTCCAACAAGAACAAGGAGGTCAAGAAGGCTAAGTACCACCTCTGAAACTTTAGAAACCATTGCAGAGGATGCAGAACTTTCCTCAAGAGTAACTGGTGACCTCCGGACAGTGACAAGTACCCACGTAAAAAGCCATTTAGGGGTAGAAGAGTGGTCTTCAGACGTTCCAGAAAAGAAAACCCCTTTACGAACAAGAAGGAAGTCAATCACTAGTGATACTGCTGATGATACCCCAGAAAAGAAAACCCCTTCACGAAGAAGGAGGAAGTCAGTTGCTAGTGATTCTGTTGAAGTTACCCCAGAAAAGAAAATCTCTTCACGAAGAAGAAGGAAGTCAGTCTCGAGTGATACTGCTGATGACACCCCAGAAAAGAAAACCCCTTCACAAAAAAGAAGGAAGTCAATCACTAGTGATACTGCTGATGACACCCCAGAAAAGAAAACCCCTTCACGAAGAAGGTCAGTTGCTAGTGATACTGTTGAAGTTACCCCAGAAAAGACAGCCTCCTCACGAAGAGGAAGGAAGTCAGTCACTAGTGATACTGCTGATGACACCCCAGAAAAGAAAACCCCTTCACGAAGAAGGAGGTCAGTTGCTAGTGATATTGTTGAAGTTACCCCAGAAAAGAAAACCCCTTTGCGAAGGAGGAGGTCAGTTGCTAGTGATACTGCTGAAGTTACCCCAGAAAGAAAAAACCCTCGAAGGAAACTAAAAGAATCTCTTGGTGGAAGTGACACTGAAGATATCTCGCAAAGGAACACCCTTGATGTAACTGCAAGTACTATCAGACAAACTAGAAGACGATCAATGTCAGAAAAAGGGATATCAAGAAGAGAAGAAACAAATGCTTTAGAAATTACTCAGGTGAGTTACAAGTGGATTTTGAAGACATACATCAGATAAGAGATTATCCATTAGAGTAGAGACGTACACCAGATAATGCAGGGCTTCTCAAAAAAATTATACACAGATTTCCATGGAGATGTGTGAATATACAGCCCTCACTTCCGAGACATCCTGTATTTTATTAGATTAGAGATTTCAATCAGATTTTTTAATATTTATTCGAAATTAATTCTTGAGAGGCAGGTAATGTGTTTAATTAAGAAAGGAGGTTTTAAAAAATTATTATAACTACAGGTCGACCTTGATTTACGGGCATCTGATTTGCAGATTCTTGAAGTTATTCATTCATTTGATTTATTGACATAGACCTAGGAGTTATTGAATTTTCTGAATTTAAGAATTAGACCTAGAATATATTTTAATATTAAATGTAGTACTGTAAGAGAAAATGTCAAACTTCAGAGGTTGCAGTCCCTACATGATCCCAGAATGAGACAAATACAGTACCGTACTGTAAAGTAGTGTATATGTACAGTCCGGTACAAGTTAGGTTAAATCTCTTAAGTTGGGTGCACATTACATTAGCAGTTGGAGCATTATAATAGTACTGCCTCCTTCCATTTACTGGCCGACTTATTTACTCACATAATCTAGCAGAAAGCTTTAGAGTGTAGATTGAAGATTAATACTGTATAGGAATCCTATTTTAAATTTCAGCTCAAAGTGAAGTGATTTTGTTGTGATGGAGAGGAAGAAACTAACGACTTTGGGTCCATGACCTGGCAGGCTTAGTGAATGCAATACAGTATTTATTATATTCCTTAGCTGTGGGCTCATTTGTAAAACGGGATTTCAAGATTAATTCGTTCATGTACTGATCTTAACCAGATACAGTATTGTATAATTTTTTCTCCTATCAGATTTCTCCAGATAGAATGTCCACCAGATCCAGTGGGACAAGTTCAGTCACAAGTATAAAAGGTGAGGGACCATATGCTGTACTGTATAACACATAGTTTCATGTTATTTTATATTTTTTTTTCTAAATTACATAACTATTTTTTTTTTAATTCATAAATCTGTTTAGTCCTCCCCCTACAGGTACGTATATGGTCAATAAAGAACATGGAAAAATTCATCTTCTGTCCATAATGAGAAAAATACCTTTAGAGGGATTATAAATTTGGCCATTATATTTTGTAATAAGATGTATTGAGACTTGTACTGGTGTAATCTAATTTGCTCTGACTTTATTTAGTTTGCTAGTGTGTTTCTCAGTTTATCTTGACTGAAGAATTTTTGCATTAAAAGTGAAGTGTATATTGTATAGTACTGTTTATTTTGTGCAACTTGTATCAGTACTGTATAATTTAATACTTTATACTGTTGTTATTTCATGGATTATTCACTACAACAGACTCAGAAAGCAGCGAAGAGGATAATATTATCAAAAGGCGTTTTTCAAAGCGACAGTCAGAAAGGGGTGGCAAGATAATTAAACCCATTCACCCAGTTGTTGAGGAACTATCCACTGGACGTAGGAAGAGTCGTAGGCTTACTCTGTCCTCTACACTGTCTACAACTGCTATGCTCCAATTACCAAACCAGCCACATAAACCTTCTCGAAAATCTGTAACGTCTCTGAAGGTTTATACAGAATCAGGTGAGAGTTGTTGGATTTGTTAATTTTTATAAGCAAACATAGGTAAGTTGTATTAGAATTAAATTTAATTTAGTTGTACCATCCTTTGTTTTGAAGAAAAAATGCCTGAGCCCTTGTGTGGTAGCAGCTTTTTAATTCATGCCATTATCATATTTACTCATTTAAAGAATATTCCATTTCACATTTAGTCCTCGTTGATTTGTAATACGGGTAACCATGGCTAATCCTACCAAGTGTGGAAAATGGCCTTAAAATGATGATTAACCACTCTTTATACAGTACTGTTCAGTATGGGAAGCCTTGTGGTGCCTGTGTCAGCACCCCAGAAACTGGATATTTGTAAATTGGCAACTGCTTTTATAAGAAAAATTAAGCTTCTCCAAAGTACTTAGCCACAATTGTGTCCAAACATCAGCTTTCTAGCTCAAAAATTGCCTGAACAAGAAAGAAAGCAAACTAATAGAACAACTACTGAGTACTGTACATTCCTTTCAGAACTCCTATCTTTGGGGCAAACATCTAGAAATGGAATATGGGAGGGGAGGGTTTACAGTAACAGTGGAGTGGATGTATATTGATTCGAAAGTATTAAATCAAGTCTCCCCTTACCACCACACGCACAACCTTTTTCCCCTTCACTTACTATCAATACAGTACTCGTAACATTTTGGCCAAGATGCCTAAATATAAGAGATCAGGATAATACAGTAACAAACAGTTGAAAGAACGCACATGCATAGTACTGTACACCCATCATTGTTGACCCTTGACCCAGAACAGGCTTCAGTCCTACACATTGAGAGAGTGTTTTCTTTTCTCGTCTCTTTTTTTATTTTTTTATTTTATTTTTTTAAATTGTTTACATGGGGATCACTTTTCAGATGAAGGTGAACCCTTATTGACCCCAGAGCCTGATCACAGAATCGGAAAATCGAAAAAGTCTCTTCCATCATCCACATCTATATTGCTTATTCAGGGCTCAGATGAGGATGAAGAGATGGTCTTAGAAGGTGGCATGGACACTGCAGATGAGGCAGACGATGAAGGTAACAAGGCTGAGTTTTTATTTATGACGATGATGCTTAATTTCACTGTACACTACTGCAATATAACTTATAAATAGAGTGTTTAAATAATGTTTACCCATTTGAATGCTCAAAGTAAAGAACTAGGATTTATTTATTTTTTTATTATATTTTTTTCATATTTATATAGACCCCTTTATTGGCAGTGAAATTATTAATATTGTTTATAATCTTTGAGTATTCTAGTTTAATATTCCTTCAGGTACAGTATATGTCTTATCAGCTTGGTAATTTACTTTGCTCCTCTCCCTATCCTTTACCTTTGTTGTCTTCTTTTTTACCAATTTACAATTTTTTTACATTTATTTAAACTTCTTACTTTTGCCATATTACAATAGTTTTGTTTTAATTGTTTTTTTTTTGTTTTGTTAGTTTTGATCTCGGCAAGTGTAAGCATGGCACAGGACAGCCCAGATCTGCCGTTGAACTTAATTGAGGTCGTTGGGAAGGGTAAGAATAAACGAAAGGGTAGCCTGTCACTAGGCCAGAAGGGAAGGAGAACCACCAAAATTCCCAGGCGATCACTACACTCACTCAAGATCCATGCAGAGACATCTAAGAATAAAGGTAGACTTTTTCTTTTTTTTTTACCTAGAGTGCTCTAATCTGTTTTGTTTTAGCTGTATAGGGTATATAAAATACATTCTGTTTGTGTGTCTGCATGTTAACACTTTTGAAGAGTTGAAATTTGGTAAGGAGGTGCAAGTGGCCTGAGAAATGGTTGAGTACTATCTCCTATTCCTGCAGGGGATGACCACAACCCCCTCACCCTTGGGTCAGTTCACAGTTTTGAAGATAGAAAGTTGAATTTGGTTGGGAGGTGTGGGTGGCCTAGAGGATGGTAATGCACTTCTCTTCTGTCCCTCCACCTGGGTGAAGCCAGGTACATTAGCAATTATAAGTTTGATTGACCTTTAGCAAAATAGTGACCGATAATGCAGTACAGCATAGTGGCAGACTGTCATTTTACTTATTGTCTTTATTAAAAGCATTTGTATGTAAAACAAATGGTCATAAATTTCTCATTTTTGTGTTTTGAACTTCTTCAGCTTTACCTCTAGGAAGCTAGAGGCATAATAATGTACATTGGCTATCGGTTCATTATAATGAACTTGGGATGGATACAGTTAATTTGAGGAATTCCTTAAATATTCCACAGCATGAAAATAAGCATGTTACATGCTTGGGCTTTATTTCCCCCCCCCCTCTCATAGTGTGATGTTTGAATGTGCATGGATGTATTCAGTTATAAGGAGAGAGAAATTGAAACTGGTGAGAGAAAAGCTGAGGGGCAAATGGGAGTTGAACTAGGGACAAGAGAAGGGAGTAGTCAGAAGTGCATGGAAAAGTGAGTGCAGATGGTATGGATAATGTTATTAAGTGATCAAATGTGGAGTTAAGAGAAAGGATATCAGGGGATCAGTCTTAAATTATATTAGGTCAGATTAAGAGTAAGGAGAACATATCTGAACTTTGCAGTCATACAATTGGCAGTTTTTAGCACAGAGATGTTACCTAAAATATATACAGTATTTGGAAATCTAAAGATTTTGCAGACCCCCTCCTTTCAGTTGAGTTTCTGTAAGTAATGTTTGGGAATATATTTAATTATAAAAAATTAGAAAGCATGGAATAAAAACTTATTATAGAAAGGCAACACTTTTTGAGGCTGTTGTAGAGAAACTTAAGGAGTTTGTGCCTATGTACATTTTCTTTTACAGCAGAAGATGTAACAGGTGTAGCTGTAACCACCACTAAACTTTCACAAAGATCTTCACGGGGGTCTAAAGACACATCAGTATTAGGAATGGCTCCAGAAGACACAAGTGTGTTAAAGGAAGCAGACTCAGATAATGATGATGTATTTATGGAGAACAAAGGAGAAATTAAAAAAACTGTTTTAGAAGAAGAAGAAATAGAAAAAGGACAGGAAGGGAAAGTAACCATGACAGAAATGGAAAAAGAGAAAAGAGAAACAGATGAAGACAATGAGGAACATTCTACTGCACCACAGTTTCAGTTTGCAAAGCCTAAATCTGTTACTAGTACAAGAAAAGTTCGAGGTACGTTAACTCGCAGTTTTATGTTCATTATTAGTTTTATAAGAGAAAGGCTACATTTAATGTATTATTATTTTGTAATGCAATACAGGGGTATGAATGTTTATTAGCACATACAGCTGTCCATATTAATGTCTTCATTTCCTCAATGCCTATTACATTATCATATCACTAGTTGAGTATAGAATACAGGTAGGTCAAAGAAATCCCAAAGCCCCTCCCCCACTCAGTTGAAAATTTTATTTTCCTGTTGCAATGCATGGATATGGCAGTAAATGATTGATTTTTCTGGTGTTGCTGATGTGATGTATGAAATAACTTGTAAATGGGATGGAAATCTTGGGGTTCTTTTGAGGTAGGGGCCACCAGAGAATACATCTGTTAAGGCAGCAAGGATAAATGAAAGTGACTGAGTGAAGAAGAGTTTGTGTCACTCTTGATTCCAGTTACTCTGCACTATTGTGTTAACGAGTTTATAAGGGTTTTAAAAAAAGTGGTTAGGCATACGAAATTTGTTTTTACATTTGAAGAATTGTACTTTAATCACATTGTTTTGCCATATAGGTAGGTTTGTTACCCAGAATTACCAGTTATTTGCAGGTAAAAACTGCATATTATTAAAAGATACAGTATGAAATATGTTTTGACGATTAAGAGCTACTGAATAAGAATACAATACCCAAAATTTTATAACGTACATTCTTAACACTGTCACGCTTTTTTCCAGCTTTGGAGTACCTCACAAGTGAAGCTGTAGAGTTTCTGTTTTCCCCCCCTCAGGTTGCTGGAAGGATTGTTCGGTATGTATTTTTTTATTATCCTCTTTTACTCTTTAATTCAAATTGACTACTAGTTTGAATAGAGGTAAAATAAGAGGCAGAGTGTTTCAAATATCTGAGTGAATGTCAGAAAATGAAAGCATAATAAATTGAATTGCAGAGTAACAAGGGGGAAAAAATATAGTAATAGGTGGATTGATAGGTACATGGAGATGTGGAGACTGGTAAAGTGTTTAGTTCAGAGAAGAGGGAAAGACCAAAGAGATGATTGCTAAAGAGTGAAAGGGGTGGATATCCAGGAAGCAGCAGCATGTGTCTATGGCTGGAGAACATGGTATTGAGTAATTTTGGGGGAAGGACATACTACTGATGAGTGTTGCTGCCCTGTGTAAAGCGACAGGTAAACCAGATAATTATGTGGTATTGACAGCAGTAGTAATATATGAATGAAAAAGGAATTTAGGCTTGTGTATTTGCTCTTGTTTTTAGGTACCCTGTATTAGGCAGAAGAAGCATGTTTAAAAATATTCAATTAATTTTTTCTTGATCTTTTTGGAGCAATTCTTAACACACACGGGCAGATCCAGGAATATAAGGGGGGGGGGAGATTCCAAGAAGTTGTGGATAGGGGAACATGACAGGCACAGCAATCCCACCCAGTTGCGGGGGAGATGGAGGGGGGGATATTTCTCTGACCCCCTATTTTTATTTTATTTTAATCTGAGTAATATTATAGACATATTGAGGTCATTTTAAAGCCATGTGCACTTGATAATAAGAGATATTCTGAGGTCAGTGGTAATTACTTTTTACTATACAAAAACACCTGAGTACAATATTACATAAAAGAAAAAGTATTGGAATTTTCTGATGAAAGGGTGGTCGAGCCCAATACATATTTTATTACGGCATAGTTTCTGGAGATATTTTATTTTGAAAAATATGGGTTAGATTTTTTTTATTCTTTTGATTACACGAAACAGTAGTTTTTGTGTTTAATGGGAAAATTCAGTCTTTTATAATATCACTGAATGGAGAAGAGCTGGCTGGAGGTTGTGACAACATTTAGAGATTTTGGAGGAATGAAGCAAAGATAGAAATGGACAAGTTTAAATTAATAATAGAATAATGCAAGGAAGAAGTGGAGCCCCATGAGTATATAATAACGGGAAGAGATTGTGTTTTGTGTGTGAGATGGCTAGTTGATAAGGTTAAAATTTAAGTTGTATGAATGTAGGGAATGGATGAGAGCATTGGTAAGTTAGAGATGGGCAAGATAGATCTATGAAAACACTATTGGAAGCATGAGAATAAGGGTGAGGCCAAAAAGTGGACAGCCTTTATAGTGGAATTAGGTCAAGTGGTGTATGATAGAAGCATGATTCTCGATTATGTACATTTATGTCTTGTATGTTTTTGCATTGATTAAGTTTGTTTTCCTTGAGCCACCCACAGTAAGGTGGGAATGGAGTAAGAATAATAGATGGTAAATTATTTGTTCAGTTTATGGAAGTGGTTTGAGTTAGGACTGAGAAAAAAGCAACTGTTATAAAGGTTTTGTGTGATTCAGTAAGGTAAAAGATATTAAATGCTGTATTTTTATACTAAAATTTCTCTATTATTAATATCTTTCCTTAGACACCATGCCAAGTTAGAAGAAGGAGTCAAAACAAGCTCTAGTGAATCGGAAACAGAAAGTGAAACAGGAAAAAGGACTTCACGAAGAAAACAATAGTTTTACACAGGATTCAGCCAAATCCAATTGTTACTGATGTGTGCATGTCCAATACTTAAGTAGGTTTATTCCTGTTAAGTTATTCTACTTCAGTTTTACAATAGTTTACAATGGAACAGCTATTTGTATGATTCCCAAGATTTACAAGGTATGGGGTGGTTATTTGACAGTACGTATACAGTAATAGTATACCCTATACATGGGAATGACCTTTGAAAGTGCAGCTTTAAGTGGATAGGAACTGCAAAAGATGACCCTCACTACAGTACAATACTGTATATGCTTTTCAGTTTGTTTCCTGTTATATTGAAGGAATTATAGGAGATACAATTATTTTTGTTGTGTTGCAGCCAGTGCTCAGTAATAATCTATTTCTGTGAAGGTAAACCCCATTAAGGAAAGTAAAGTATTGTCATCATGAAAATTTGATGCATATAATGTAAATTTTAACCTTACACGTTAATTAACCAAACTGGTAGAACAAGTTTTCACCACTGTATATGTCGTCATTTAGTATATACAGAGTATAACAGAAAATGGTTCATATAGGTCTTTTTTTGTACAAGAACTGTATACAGAAGAATAGCTTATGCTATGGTTTTTGTAAGCTAAAATGCAGTGCTTTTACCAAGATGAATTTTGGGAACCAAATGTATTGATTATGATGATCGGAATATAGTTTGGATTGAATGTTACAAGTTTTATTCTTACTCTATTTTAATATTTGTAGTACAGTACAGTAGAGTATTTTCAGTAGTTTGGTGTGTTTATAATATATATCTTAGTAATCCAGTTATTTTATATAATTCTGTTCACCTATTCTGTTGATTAGGTTGAACATAACAAGGCTGTGATAAATGTATAGGATTACCAACATTACGAGTAAATGTGGATCTAGTGGGTAAACCTTCAGGCTCTAAGAGGGTGAAGGGAGGGTAGTCTTGTTATTTATTTTGTTGGTGTGAATGCTGACACATCAGTTTAGTTAGGAAGCATATTGTTGGCTTTATTGCCCAGACATAAGTTATTTGGTGTAAAACACTGGCCTGAATGTATAGTTTATCTTCAAACATCCAGGATGAATTATACACTTTATTTATATAAATGTCACATTAAAAGAAGCAGTGATATGATTTTTGTACTTGAACCTACAGTATAGATAAAAAAAATTTACATAACTTCTTAAGTAGAAAGAATTGTCCATATTTTCAGATAAGACAAACCTAAATTATGTACTTTACTCCTGTTTCATTCTGGCTGTGACCTCAAACACAAAAGTTATGAGGAAATCCAGAATTGTAGAGTCCTCGATGATTATGAGAGAACACACCTAGCTTACTAATGCTCAGTTATGGGATTGTAGGTGCAACTGACTGCACTATAGCTGTATTTGAAGAAGTTATGTACTCACTAAATCTGTTTTGTAGAAGCAGCGGACAAAATAACTCATGACACATTTTGCCACACAACAAGAAGTATGTTTAGTAAATGTAAAACTACATAGTGGTATGTTCATCATTGCACAACATGTTATTCATATATGTAAATACAGTGATACCCCATGTGAAGCTTCATCATCATTTCGGGATCACTAGTGGAATTTTGTGTATTCCAAGGCCTGGCGAGTATAATTAATGCGATAACGTTTCTGGGACCTGAACTGGCCAACTCTTCAGTGTGATATTGTACATGCTTTTTAAGTTATGGTTTGGAGCTTGATTTAATGAACCACCATTAAGTTGAATCCTGGCAGAACCAGGTGCATTGAAACATTGTAAAAGTGTTTGTAGACATTTCACTTTAATTATCATAAACATATGAATATGTTTGCTTATCTTTCATTGACATGTGTGAAGTTGGATTCAGTAGATTAGTAACTTAAAAAGTTACAACAAAAGAGCTGCTATAATGTTTAATTTGTATAGTACAGTACTATTCAGTGTTGCATAAATAGCATGTATTGTACTTAAGTCAAGTTTCCTCTTTACTGTACAACGTACATATTCCTGTAATTATATGAATGATAAATATGATTTCTTGAAAATTAATTCCAAAGAAAGTGGGTGCCATGTTCTATTTTCTATACTGTACTCAGAGATCATAAGCATCTATAGTGGAACAAGGTTTTATTTTGTTAGGTTATAAATGCTTTTTCATAATAAAAGATTAGCCTCTATATCTACATATGTATATATTTTGTTTATTTCATTCTGTATACATAAATCGATTTTTACAAATATGCTAAGGTTCATACACTGGCCATTTGGGGGCCTGAAATAACTTCACAGTTCACACTGGTCTTGCCCCTTGGTGATATTTATGTTCAAGAACACGTATTTTCTCTTGGAAATGGAAACTGATGGACAGTATTTAAATACTTTACTACATTCAGAATAATATAAATCACATTTGAAAAATTATAGATCTTGAAGAATACAGTCGTCCCCCTGCTATACAGACAATGTGATTTTGAAAAGCCATCCATGAAGTGAAAGCAATATTTCCAGTGAATTCCATTATATAACTGGAAATGTGTTCATGTGGGGGAAAAAGGCGACAAAAAAAAAAAGTTCCAAGTGATTTTGTTTTTAACACATTAAATGGAATACAGTATTGTACATATTTAATCGTGTATTAGATCATTTCATAATTCACAAAAGTGTTGAATTTAGCTCTCCAGAATTGATGGACATTACTGTGTGGTAAAAGTGGCTGTTCCATATTTATCACATCACTACTTATGGATACTTAAAGGCGTAGCTACTTGAACAATTACTATTACATTTATTTTCCTTTTTTTTTAAATACATTCCTATGATAAAAAAAAATTCATTTGGAGAGGACTGTCCCGAGTAGTTTTAAATAAAACCGTTGAAGGATGTTTTCAAGTCAAAGTGAACCTTGTCTCGATATCACATATTTCAATTACAGTACAATATCTGTAATTTGCTGGGATATATCCAACTCCCATGCCATGTTTTTAATACTGTACTGATACAAGACATCTGTAATCTGCTCTTTATTTATTTAATTTTAAATGTAGCTATGATGATGCATTGTAACCTACAGAAAATGCCGACTCAAGCCTTTCACCACTTATCATGCCATTACTATACAGTACAGTATTGAGAATACTCATCAATCGCTCTCCATAAACATTCGACAGTGGGATGGGATAAAGATGATGAAGTACATCCCATATATACCAAGTTTTGTTACAGATGATTATATGATAAACTAAACAGTCTATGGGCAACTTTATTCAACGAACTGGTACTCGAAGAATGACTACACTGTATTTGACTGAGTTTTCTTGACATCGACAGCAGAGGTTATTAAGGTTACTTATTTTTCTTTATGTATTAGTCCAGGGCCATTATAAGTCAGTCAGTCATAAACTTTTATGAATAATATAATGATATAAATAGCATTCTTATTCTAACCAAACTAAAGTACTGTGAGTACTGTAAAATGTTTTACTAATTTTGACAGGTAATGAAATTTGGGGGACCTCTTGGTCTCCCAAGAGGTTCAGTGAGAGTCATCCTTCATAGGCTCAGTCTTAGTAAACGAGGAATTCGGAGAACGTAGATACAGATTGCCCACGAGGGGCTAGTTTATTGGGCACACCCTTACATCCTGTGCAAGGTGAAGCACAGAAGCGTTTACAGTGCCCAACTGGGAAGCATGCGGAGTTCATGCTTGCCTTTATGACTCGTGCATTAAGGGCGTGGAAGCCTGGAGGGTCATGGGTTTTGTCAGCAAGTTACATAAAGTGACAATGATGAGTGTGGGGGGATTCCCGGTACAATTTATCTGTTTATGGCAAAGTGTGGCAGGTCCCTAATAATGTCAAGTGCTAGGCATGTCACTAGTACTCTGAAAAGCTTTCAAAGGTCAGTAGGGTCACACTGGACAGTATCCGACCCAAGTGGGTATTGAACCCGAGTCGCAGTTGGGAGGCAACTCGGGAAAGCGCTATACTGTCTTGGTATTCATCACCCAGGTGTGACTCAAATTAGATTGACATTTTCTACTTTGCGGTTGTCACAAAATTCCGCAAGCTATTTTGTAATGCACTCAGTATTTAGAAAAGTGAAGCCAAGTGGGAGTTTAATAATTAACGTACCGGTAACAAACACAAATACTACAATACATATTCTACTTTAAAACTCTCAATCATGAATAGGCAATGAACATTAATTACAAAATAATGCATAAACTTAAAAAAAGCAACTTTGAATTTTATTTCCATCTGTTGTTTACATGGTAATTGCGAACTAAAACTGCTATGGTTTAAATCTGTCATTACTGAATGGCATAATGTTTTACTGATACTGTGACATCGCTTACCCTTGTTTTATGTACCGGGTATTGCAACATCGTGAATCACCTGACACTGTACTATAGCGGTTTACCCTCCATCCTAGTGGGGGCTTGCACGGGGGACCTTATCCAGTGGTTTCAACATGCTGTTTTTTATTATAAAATTAGATATATAAGATTAATGATAATTAATTTGCTCTTAATGTGGACTTGAGTATTCTCATCAGCCAAAAATGAGAAAATAATCATTGTTACAAGTAAATAAAATAGGCGCACCCCATTCTCGTATCCCCTAAAGTGCCTCTCGGCTCCCTACAAGAACAACAGACTTCCTTGAGGAGTAATCTTCGCAACCCCATTATTTCCGCTTTTTGAGCAAACTAATGATTATATCTTCACCGCACAATGTCAAAAAAGGCGGTGTAAGAGGGTGGTGGGGCTCGGGTGGCGGGATAATGGCGACTATTGGTAACGGTGAGACTCAGCCGTGAGGTTGGTAGCCTTGACCGACATAACCAGCTGAGCTCTCCCACTGACAACCAAACATAATAAATTTTACACGTTATGTACCGCTCATCTTAATTTCCATGTGACTACTTGCAATATGTGTCCGCCTTGCCTTCAATGAACCTTTTCAGCTAAAATTGAGACTAATTTATCAAGAGCCTATAGCGTAAGATTCAGATTTGCCCCCGAGGGGGCTAGTTTATTGGGCACCCCCTTACATCCTGTGCAAGGTGAAGCGCAGAAGCGTTTACAGCGCCCAACAGGGAAGTATGAAAAGTTCATACTTGCCTTTATGACTCATACATTAAGGGCGTAAAAGCCTGAAGGGTCATAGGTTCTGTCAAGGTACATAAAGTGAGAGAATGATGAGTGTGTGTGGGGGGAAAGTTCCCGGTACATTTTATCTGTTTATGGCAAAGAGTGGCAGGTCCCTAATAATGTCAAATGCCAGGCCTGTGACTAGGAGGGATACCTATAGCGTAAGCAGCAACATCATGACAGTAATCTCACCCCGTCACTACTACATACATAATTTATGAACGAAAGACTACATCCTCCTTGACAGAACTTCGACCAATATTCCAATTGGGACATACGATGTAAACGAATATCCTCTTCAGTTATCCCTAAAACGCTCGAGTTGAATGTCATGCCCAGGGGCGGATCCAGGAATATCAAAGGGGTGGGGGGAGTCCAATAAGTTGTGGTTGGGGGAACATGGTAAGCACAGCGAGCCCACCCAACTGGGGGTTGGGAAGATCTGTGTAACCCCCCCCCCAAATGAAATCTGACCAATATCATGGGCATTTTGAGACATGTGCACCTGATATTAGGAGATATTTTGAGTCAATAGTAATTATTTTTTACTATACAAAAAATTAAAGAAAACGCATTGGAATTTTCTGATGAAAAGAGGGGGGGTGGGGAAAAGTCCGGACCCCAGGACCCTCCCCTGAAATCAAGTGTAGACAGCACTTAACTGAAGGAGCTATTAAGCGATTCCTCACTCAGCCGTTTGCAATCACCGGAAAGGCCATCTTCATGTAAACTGCACAACGAACGAGAAAGAAGAAGAGGACGATGTAACTTCAATTTGTTAGCACATGACCGTGCCCTTCGCAAGGAAAGATTATTTAGGGACCCACATGCGTTAGTAGCTCAAGATTTCATGCTAGTGGCAGTTATCAAAGTGTAGTGGGTGACGACTGTAATAACCCAATCGAGTGTTTCGAGAATTATAGACAAAGTGACATTTACTCTCTACATGGAAATAAGAAGAGAAATCAAGATGACGAGAGGAGCTGGTGAAATAGCACAACCTAACCTAACCCAACCCAAATGTGATAGGATCCATAGACTGTATTCACATTCTCATTAGAGCACCGCGTGTGAATTAAGGTGCTTATGTCAACTGTAAACAATATCATTCATTGAACCTTGACCAGCATCCAGGGTTTTCTTGAGGACTGGGATTACTGTAGGTGTACTGTCTTGGTGCTACAGTACTACTGACGCTGTTCACTGATGCCGTAGTTATATCACTGACATTGTACAAGTGTATAAGGAGTATCATAACTACAGTAGATGGTTTTGTTCAGATGACCTCCAACTTCAAGTAGAAGAATAAAGATCCTTCATGGAAAACTGGTATTATCATCTTAGCCAAAATTTGGGTACAGTCTTCTGCCACCCTCTAGCATTTATATTGGTTTCATTTTATGCAAAAGGAAGAAGTATCTCCCACTGGTAGGTGGAAGAGTCTAGTCTTCATTTTCCAAGACAGTTAACCAACAGTTCCTTACTGCTTTCTACACAATCTCAAACCCCCTTTTTCTTGACACCCTCCCCCACTCCTTTCTTATTAATTCCCTTCCCTCTCCCCTCCTTATCTCCTTGTCCACAGGAAAAAATAACATCCGGAGATGACTACTCTTTGTAAACGACCTTACTACGATACGAATACCAATGGAAATCCGAAATCCGTATACAGTGTATATATAGGAATTTCTGGACAAGAGGCAGATTATATATACAGGTATATATATATATATATATACAGGTATATATATATATATATATACAGGTATATATATATATATATATACAGGTATATATATATATATATATATATATATATATATATATATATATATATATATATATATATATATATATATATATACAGTATATATATATATATATATATATATATATATATATATATATATATATACAGGTATATATATATATATATATATATATATATATATATATATATATATATATATATATATATATATATATATATATATATATATATATATATATATATATATATATATATATATATATATATA